ATCAGCCTTTCCAGTTATGAAAAAGAATATAATGAGAGGGGACTCAAAACCATTAAAGCATTTTCTACCCAGTCTTGATACTCTATTTGACAGAAAGGCTTGTCAAAGAGGGGTCAGAGGCAGCCAGTTGAACATAACCGACTCCAAATGAAGATAAAGCCTCTCCTATCAAAAGTGAGGGCCATAAAAAAAAAAGACACTATTGATAGAATCTTCCTTAATGTGCAGAAGTCTCAAAAAAAAAACAGCCTATTCAACCATATATTTGATGTATTTGCCAGAGAAGGTGCCAAAAAATAAGTTAGAAAGGGAACCTGACTATTTTATAACCAATGAGCTACAGAAAACTTGCAGAGTGAGGAGCGGGGTGGGTGGCAAGTGGAAAGCCACAGCCTAGAAAAACCTCTGCGCCCAGGATCACCTGGATTCCAACCCCCACTGCTGTGTTTCCTAGGTGTGGGACTTCAGACGAGACCCTTAACCTCTCTAAACCTCAGTATCTTTACCTTCAACTAATAAAAGGAATAGTTTTTGTCTTATTATAGGGTAGTTGTGAGAACTACAGTACATAATCCATAATAAGCATCAACAAATGGTAGTGTTGATTATAAAATAATATTATTATCAAGTATCTGACTCAGAGTTGGCTCTCAAAAATGTTTCCTGCTTTCCTTTACCTAATTGGACCAACATTCTTGAGAGTTTGTTGTGTAAAGAAAAGCTTTCTTCTTTTTTTTTTTAAAGATCTTATTTACTGGGGCACCTGAGTGGCTCAGTCAGTTAAGTGTCTGCCTTCGGCTCAGGTCATGATCCCAATGTCCTGGGATCTGGGATTGAGTCTCGCATGGGGCTCCCTGCTCAGCAGGGAGCCTGCTTCTCCCTCTCCCTCTGCCTGCCGCTCCCCCTGCTTGTGCTCTCTCTCTAATAAATAAATAAAATCTTTAAATAAAAAAAAGATCTTATTTACTTATTTGAGAGAGAGAGAGCAAGAGCAGGCAGAGGGGCAAAAGCAGACTCCCCACTGAGCAGGGAGCCTGATGTGAGGCTCCATGCAGGACTCAATCCCAGAACCCTGGGATCATGACCTGAGCCAAAGGCAGACGCTTAACTGACTGAGCCACCCAGGTGCCCCAAAGAGAAGGTTTCTTTAGACCAATAATATTCTAATTTTTTGCTCTCAAACTTCCTAAAAGGAATCTGAAAAAGTTATATATGCTCTTGCATGTGATTTTTCAACATAAGCTTTCAAATAGCAAAATTTTATTTTCCCATGTATTGTAAATATTAGCATTTAAAAATATAAAGTTTTCATCCCTCTTTAAAATGTACGCAATGGAATCTAAATACCATGGCAATTTGATACCCAGCATCATCCACTTAAACAAAGATATAAACAAGTTTTTCTTTAACAGTGAGAAATCTTATTTCTTTCCATTTTCTCCTTAAATTCTGATTTTCATTCTCCTTTTATCAGAGAATTTTATCTTAATGTAATATATTTTTATGCTTAAGCATCTTTTTTAAAAAGATTTTATTTATTTATTAGAGAGAGAGAACGAGTGTGGGGAGGGGCAGAGGGAGAAGCAGCCTCCCTGATGTGGGGCTTGATTCAAGGCCCTTGGCTTGGGATCCTGACCTGAGCCAAAGTCAGACACTAACCAAATGAGCCACCAGGTGCCCTATGTTTAAGCATCTTTTATTGATCAATAAAATGTTAGCATTTTTAGATTTTAAAAATTAACAATCTCCCCAGACACAAAAATCTAGGTATCAAATATTCATTCTCAATTGAGTTATTGCCTGTAATTATTTGTACATATTGATCAAAATAACATAAATATATTATAAATTTCTATGACCATTAAACATATAAAATTTCTAACAGAAATAGATCTCTTAATGAGAAGGAAGAGCTTTTCCCCCCTAATAAGTTAATGTATTCATTGATAAAATTCTTTCCTAGAATAAGATAGGATTCAGCATCCATACTACCCCTATTTTTTATTTTTATAGACGCAAGGGCTAGGAAACATGCTGGCATGAATGCACTGGGGGTTGGAATGCTTTTTCCCTCAGGGAGGTGTTGCCTGGTGATGGGACCTAAAGTAGTTCCTCTGTACTATACTGTACTACACTGAGTAATGTATAGAATTGTTGAATCGCTATATTGTAAACCTGAAACTAATATAATCCGGTATGTTAATTATACTGGAATTAAAATTAAATTAAATTAAAATTAAAACTAAAAAAAATTATTAAATAAAGTAGTTCCTCTGTACCTTCAGTAGCCCTTTACTGGGTTATATAATCATCATGACATTATGACACTTGTCACTATCTGCAGATGTCTTGTTTGGGAACATACGCATTGTTTGTGTCTGCTAGAACATCAGTTTCTGTGAGAGGGACGTTTTCTATCTTGCTCCGTTGACATGCAGTAGGCACTGGGATATAAATTCTTCTTGGAGGAATGAATAAACGAAACGCTCCTCTGAGAGGATCATTCATTTATGGAGCAGCCCTGGAAAGCCATTCTTTTTTTTTTTTTTTTTTTAAGATTTTATTCATTTATTTGAGAGAGAATGAGAGAGGGAGAGAGCATGAGAGGGGGAAGCAGACTCCCCGCCGAGCAGGGAGCCCGATGCGGGACTCGATCCCGGGACTCCAGGATCATGACCTGAGCCGAAGGCAGTCGCTCAACCAACTGAGCCACCCAGGTGCCCGCCATTCTTTCTCTATTATCATCAAACCAAGATCCTCCCAGCACCACAGAGGAAGAGGAATCTCCACACAGGTGGAGGGGCCTACTCTTATACCTTGAGCTTCTCCTTGTGGGACAACTGATATTCGGCTGCAACAATTAAACTCAGCTCAAAATAACTATTAAACTCAGCTCCAAGTAACAACTGGAATGGAAGACTGGAAAATCTGGGATATTTTCAGGCTGGGATCCTCCATGGTTGGAGATTATGGGGACACTTTTCAGTAGGGGTGGTGTTGGAGGAATACCTGCATTTAGCTGGCTTTCCACACACATGCTAAAGCCCTGCAGTATGCAGGACAATCCTGCCCAGCAAAGAACTCTGCATTTTCTGGCCCACCCAGGACTGTGCTTCCACATGGAATGTTAGGTTCTTATACCCAGGAGCACTCTCAAGCAAGAGCAGACAACGTGAGTCCCCATTCCTGTCTAAAGTCTGTTTTCTGAGTTCAGGTTTTCTGACCGAGCACGTCTCTTCCCAAATGCCCATCAGAAAGAATGCTCACTGCATCTGGTGCTACCCACCCTGTCCAAACAGTACAACACAACACAACACGACACTGGAGGGCCATCATTCCTAACAGAGACAGGTGACTCTTTAAAACTATTATTACACTGGAATTGGGTAAGGTGGGGAATGTGCTGCAGGAAGGGGAAATGAATCTATGCTGACCTAGGAAAGGCCAGCTAGTACTGTGTTGGATGAAATAGATTTAAAATATCTGCTGTTCTGTAACCCAATGCATTTCAGTTTACTGTGGCCTTGTAAGCACTCAAACAACCAAACAGCAAGAACATGGACTTTCCAGCTATGAGGCTTGTGACATGTTTCCTGAAACACTCCCTCAGTCTGTTCATAGTATTTTTCTCCCTCCAATTAATCCAAATGGCCAGGTATTTTGTAAACTCTTTGAAAATTGATTTAATTTTTATAGGCTTTTTGCCACATAAAGGCATGCAAGATTGTTTTCGCTGAGATTAGGCAGAGCTGCAGAAGAAAGATACCTCTTCCTAGAATTTGTGTTACAAAAATTCTAACCTTGAGGTTGAGAGGTGCATATTAGCAGAAAGATTGCAGAATCTTGCACAAATTCACTTCAGGTAACCAGAAACAAACAAACTTTGACTTTATTGAACAGCAAGAAATAGTGTTTGATATATTTCATTCAGAGCTGACGTCTTATTCTTTACAATCCCAGACCTATCAACAAGAAATACATTGAACATCTACTATGTGCTCAATAAACAGTTGTTGATTGCAAAGGCTGCTTGTTGCATGTACATTAGTACATTTTATTTTTTAAAGATTTTATTTATTTATATATATGTTTTTTGAAAGGGGGAGTAAAAGGCGAAAGATTTATGCGATCTGAACCAGAGTAGGGGGACAGGACAGAGGGAGAGGAGAGAGAGAATCTCAAGCAGACTCCATGCTCAGCTCAGAGCCTATACAGGGCTTGATCGCACAACCTGAGGATCATGACCTGAGCTGAAACCAAGAGTTGGAGGTTTAACCAACTGAGCCACCCAGGCGCCCCTTAAAGATTTTATTTTTAAGTAATCTCTACACCTAACATGGGGCTCTAACCTACAACTCCACGATCAAGAGTTGCATGGTCTACTGACTGAGCCAAACAGGCGCCCGTAGTACATTTTAAATTCATTATCAAATAGCTCTTACTCACCAGTGTTTACATTATAAACATTTCACAGTAAGTGAAAATTTTAGTATTAAAAACTTCAGAATGGCTGGCTGTCATTAATCAAGTAAAAAAGCTGCCTATTTGACTCGCTCCCGCTACCTGCCTTCACTGAAGATGGGGAAAAACGGAAATGCACATCTCCTGACAGCATGACCCCCTTAGTTGTAGGAAACGTACCTCAAATAACAGGGTTTTGTTTGTTTTTAGATTTCACGAACATGTGCGGACTGTTCCAGGCTCCCCTTAGTATTGAATGGCGCGGGGGACTCGGAAATTTTCTAACCAGAGCGGCCTCTTTCAGCCAACGCACCAAAATCCAGGACTTAGGTTGTTAGCTTTTAAAACGGGCTTACAAACGCCGCAGCTCTGGAAGTCTGGCGCCTTCCCCGCAGCACGCGCCCTGCCCAACCTGTGGCTCTGCGCGCTCCTGGGACGCCAGGGGACCGCGCGCGGGCCAACGACACCGGGCAGGAAGGGGCGGAGCCAGCGCAGCGGTGGCGGGAAGAGAGGCGCGCAGAAAGGCACGCACCCCCTAGCCCGCCGCCAGCCGCCCTCTGCGTCTCAGGGCCCGCAGCGGCGCCCGCGCCATGCCAGCCCCGGGCTCCGACCTGCAGCGCCCGCCGTCGCCGTCGCCGTCGCCGCCCGCCGCGCAGAAACCGGGCTCCGAGCCGCAGCCGCCACCTCACGGGGAACTGCAGTACCTGGGGCAGATCGAACATATCCTGCGCTGCGGGGTCCGGAAGGATGACCGCACCGGCACGGGCACGCTCTCAGTGTTCGGCATGCAGGCGCGCTACAGCCTGAGAGGTGACCCCCGCGCGCCCCGGGGAGGGCGCGTGCGCCCGGGTGGGCTCCGCGCGGTCGCTGGGCGGGGAAGGCGCCTGGGAATGGCTGGGCTTTGCCATCAACCCTTGGTCCTAACCTCTATCCTGGGCGCTCCTTAGCCCCGCTTTGAAGACGCCAAAACAGAGGGCTCGGGTTAGAGGAATGATTTGCGTAACGGCACGCGGACAGGAGTGACAGAAGTGGGAGGTGAAACCAGGTCCATTGGGTCCGAGTCCTGTGCTCACCTGGTCGTGCTGTTTGCCCCAGAGCGGCCACGGTCTGGTAGTGTTTGCCTCATACTAGAGAGTGTGAGAGTATTTGTCTGGGCTTGACCACGGACTTGGCTAGAAGTTCCCCTTTTTGGCTCCTCCTCTTCTCTCCCCCTTCTAGTCCTTCGGTTTGGCAAAGTTTTAAAAATTGGAGCGAAGGAATAAGGGCGGGTCAACGGCAGCGGGAGGAGAGAGCGCGAACGGAGAGGCTGGGCAAGAACTTGTGGTTCCTGACAATTTTTCCGTCGGGTCCGCACGAACCAGCTTTCCTCTTAAACCTTGAAACAGGAACGCGAGAGTCCGAGTAGTAGTTCTTATTCGTCTTTTCCATTAAAACAGGATGGCTCCGGAGAAGTTTCTCTTGGCGGTTGTTAGAGTCAGGCTTTCGGGGCACAAAGAGACGGGTGTGGGGGCGGTGCACGAGACAAATATCCTGGGCACAGGTATGGGGGTGGTTTTGAGTAGGGAGACGCACTGCATTATTAGTAAGGCTGATTCACTGTGGTGAGCAGGGGGAGGACCCTCAACCCCACACCCATTTTAGAGACTGGTAGGTACCCAGGCTGCAGGGTAGATAGGGATCCACCGTCGTGCAGCTCCACACAGTGGCCTCCGATGAGCTACAGATCTCGTTTTTACTCCAGCCCATGAGCTTAGAACGTGGGCAATTTACCTTTCTGGTCTTCAGCTTCCTCGTGTGCTTAAAATAGAGGAAATCATGCTCAGTGACAGTACCGATAAAAGTAGGTGCTTGAAAAATCTCTCCTTGTTACATGAATATCAACTATATAACTGATAAGGTGAACTGAATAGGTACTGAATTTAGAGATAAGCTTTTACATTTTGATCTCTGTTGCTTGATGCAAACATATATTCCCTCCTGGTGCCTGTAAAATGGAGATCTTAAGGATGCCTCAAGGAAGGTTGTTTTGAGGATTCAATAAGGTCATGCATATAGGTATTTAAACGGGTACTATTTTTGGTACATTTAAATAATAGAGGTTAATTTGCTTTGCAAATAATTAAAAACTATTCCTTAGCTTTGGTTAGTGTGATATCTACTATCCCCCAGACCTGAGCAAGTTTTTCCCGGCAGGATAATCAGGGAATAGCTCTGGGAGCCTTCAGCCTTTGTCCTAGGGCACACTTTGTGTGTTGTCTTCACACCTCTGTGAAGGAATCACACTAACTGGGAAGCGGATGGTAGCTCTTTTCCTGTCCACATGGGCATCCCTGCCTGGCCGGTGCCCCATCTCACCACGTGGATGGAGTTCCTGTGGTGGACAAGGGATTGAGGAGGGCAGTCTTAGTCTGAATTGTGTCACTGACTTGGACTGTAGCCTGGGAGCTCCACCCCGTTCTGGGGCGCCCATGTGATCAGAGTCACAGTTTTCTAGTTGGTCCTGTGGTTACGCAAGGGCCTTATGTCCCGGAGGCAGTCCTCCTCCACAGAGAAAGCTGGATGATGTGTTCTGTTTTCCCATCTTGAAATTATCGGGCAAACTGTTTTTCAGATGAATTTCCTCTGCTGACAACCAAACGTGTATTCTGGAAGGGTGTTTTGGAGGAGTTGCTGTGGTTTATCAAGGTAAGGAAGCTGCTGCTGTTGGAAATCAGCAGTCTGTTCTCAGCCCAGCACCGGGGAGATCCTTTTAAAAGTCCGATTATGTCACATCTCACCTACAGCCCTAGTGGATCGCATTTCACTCAGTAAGATCCCACTCACCTGGGGCCCCATCCCAGCTCTGGCTTCAGTGAAGTGCTGCTCACTCTATTCCACCCACCTGGCCTCCTTGCTGATCTTTGAGTACATCAGGACATTCCCACCCAGGGTTCTGGCGCTTGCTAGTCCTGTTCCCTGGAACCTTCTTCCCCAACATGTAGCTCATGACTCACTCCCTCACCTCCTTCAAGTCCCTGCTGAATGAGCCTTCCCTAACCTCCCTGTCTAAGACTGTGATTACCCCCCCCAACACACACACATCCCTCCCACCCTCCTTTGTTTTTCCCATAGAGAAACATCATCAGCTGATAATGTCTGCCCTCTCCCTTTCCCCATACAAGGGGGGGAAGGTAGACAACAAATAAACAAGTAAAATGTATTAGAAGCTCCGGGGGGGCAGAGAATTTGTTTTTTCCTAATCACGTTTGTATCCCCTGGGCCTAGAACACAGCCTGCCATATAGTAGGTACTCAACATAGATTGATCATTGACTATAAATCCCAGCCATGTTCTCATATTGGTATAAGCTAGAAGGGTCTCTTGAGTAACAAGCTATACCTCTTCCAAAGAGCCAAGTAGGTACCTCTGGCAAAGGCTAAAGTGCTGTGATGATGGACAGCTTCCTCTCGCTCTGTCTCCTGCTCCAGACTAATGATATTCTCGCCAGTGTTGTTCAGAGGGTACCTGAGGAGATGGGCTCAGTTCTGGGTCATGTAGAAGCTGGGATCCCTTCTGCAAAGCACTCAGTGTGGCATGTCTCGTCTTGGGCCAAACCAGACCCAAGACTTCTTACTGCATTTTAGAAAGAGTTTATTTCGATTTGGATCCAGTCCGGTCTTCCTTACTTTACGTATTCTCGAGGTGTTTTCTTCTGTGTCGTCTCACCTCAGCTGGCAGTGAGCGCCTAGTTCCAGGTGCATCATCAGAAATATCAGAAGAGGCCATTTGTAAACCAGCCAGAGCCCAATCGAATGGATGAAGGGGAGGCATTAGAAGCAGTTTGGGAGGGAGCATCTGGGTGGCTCAGTGGGTTAAGCATCCAACTCATGATCGCAGCTCAGGTCTTGATCTCAGGGTCGTGAGTTCAAGCCCAGCGCTGAGCTCCACCTGGGCATGGAGCCTACTTTTTTTTTTTTTTTTTGAGATTTTATTATTTGAGAGAAAGAGAGAGCAGGGGCAGAGGGAGAGGGACAAGCAGACTCCCTGATGAGCGGGGAGCCCGATGTGGGGCTCAGTCCCAGGACCCTGGGATCATGACCTGAGCCGAAGGCAGATACTTAACTGACTGAGCCACCCAGGTGCCCCCATGGAGCCTACTTTAAAAAAAAAAGAGCAGCAACAGCAATATGGGAAAGATTGAAAAATGACTTATGGAGATGAAAAAGATAGTACAAACTCAAAAACAGAAGGGAGGAAACGAGATGCTCAGAAATAAAATGCATTCACTGGTTTTATCTTAATTTAGCTTGAGTTCAGGAGTCTAAATACTCTTTACCAGGAACATGCCAGATTCACCTCTGATAGATTTGCTCCCTGGGTGACTGGATGAAACACAGAAGTCAGGATGAACCTGCACTGCAGCCGGCATCTGTGGGCAAGATGGAGACGTGGGGTCTGTGCCGAGGTTAGGATCTGTCGAGCACTGAGCACTTTGCTTATGTTTTCTAACCCTCACAGTAGATGTGTGGGGATGCGGCTGTGCTCTTCCGTGGGTGGGGGCAGGGAGCTGTCAGAGGAGAAGGGGGATGGAGGGCAGGCATGGTGTGTGTGGCAGCGCATCATACACAGAGGCCGCCGAGGTCTGTCTTGGACCTGAAAGCACGATCAGGACACACGTTAGGATGATATGGGCCAAATCTAATGAGATGACGTAGAAGTAATAAACATTAGCTTGTACTTGGAAAAAAAACAAAGCCCCACCTTAACTGCAAATACAGGTTGGGGAGAACAACTTGACAGTGGCACATATGAGATAATGTGACTGATTGATTTGTAAGAAAAGCTGATACTGATTAGGCCAGTTAGTGAAATATCCTATGTGCCAGGTCTAAGATCCATTGAACAGATTGCAGGTGAGACATTAAATGCATTTTGGGGGATCACACACACGAAACACCTTTGGTTATAAAACACAAAACTGTTAGGTGAGGTGGGAACAATGAAAGGACTTGGAGGTGTTTAATCTAGAACATTTAGTTGAGGGGAAGAATCACCTGTCCTGGAAGCGATTCCAGGAGCCTGTTCTGGGGGCCCTCAAAAAGTCTGGGCTGGGACTGGCCCTTAAAGACGGGACATGCCGTGCAGGACATGCTGAGTGCAGACAGGTATGTTAGCACAGGCCCGAGGCACAGTTGGCAGGCGGCTCTTGGGGTGTCACCTTCACCTGGATGCCTGCTCTGCTGTCCTGTCTCTTGCAGGGATCTACAAACGCCAAGGAACTGTCTTCCAAGGGAGTGAAAATCTGGGATGCCAATGGGTCTCGAGACTTCTTGGACAGCCTGGGATTCTCCAACAGAGAAGAAGGGGATTTAGGCCCAGTTTATGGCTTTCAGTGGAGGCATTTTGGGGCAGAATACAAAGATAAGGATTCAGGTGAGAAAACAGAGCGATGCCTCAGATTTCCTGAGCACTCACTGTAGCATAAGTTGGCCCCATTGTTTCAAGTGAAGTTGGGGGCATAAGAAGCCAGCGTCTGGGGAGTTGATGTATAACTTTGACCTTGTGAGAGGCTGTTTCAGAGTCAGGTAGAGGTCAGATCACACTCTTGGTTGTTAGCATTTATTGGGTGCTTGGTACTTTCCATACCGTATTTCATTAGCAGGTAGTGACATGGTGGGTCGGTTCGTTGCTGTGTTGGCCATAGGAAGAGGCCCGGGGATTGCCTTGCAGTGGCTTGATCTCCCTTTTTAAGGCTGAGCCACCCTGCACACTTTAGGTGGTGCTCATGTGATAGCAGCTCTTGGTTTACCGTCTTCTCCCTGCCCTCCTGGGGTGGAAGAAGGTGAACCATCTTATTCCAGGACATCCACCTTCCTCAGTCACTTGGTGGCATCATTTGCCCCCATCCTTTGAACCTTCCTGTCCTGCCTGTCCATAGGTCAAGGGTTGCAAAAGCAAATGCCGACTTCCTCAGTGTGTGTGTGTGTGTGTGTGTGTGTGTGTGTATGCATGTGTACACGCATACGTGTGTGTGTGTGTGTGTGTGTGTGTGTTGAAATCATTGATAATTTTAGCACCTGTAGATTTATATAAGCACCACAACCAAAATACAGAACCATACTATCACAGTGCATCTTTTTTAATCTTTGCTATTACTTTTTCTGAAGCTACGATCATGACAGGACTTTCTTTCCCCCAAAATTAAGAACTACTGGACTAGAACATAGTCTGACCCCAATAAGTGGAGGTCTAACCGGAGAGGATATGAAGCTCCTCACTTCTCAGACTTCGCAGCTTCCAGTTCCATTTCAGAAGGCAGGCAAGGAATTAAAAGTCCAGAGACCAGAAATGGGAGAAAAGTACAACGTGGTGTGAGAGTTATAGTGATTTCTTGATAGTTATAAATCAGTAGGTGTTTGGCTGCTAAATTGTAATTTTGGGTGGAAGCGTTGGGAGAATAGCATCTAGACCATAGAAAGGAATCCACCGTCCTCTGTTAGTTGGACTGTGTGTGGAATGGTGTCTTCTATTTAAGATCTGATACTTTCCATGGCAGCAGAGTGCGATGAGAATGGTTGATGGGTATAGAGACAATCCCGTGGGGACCAGTGGAAGAAACTGCTGGGATTGGAGAAAGTTCGCAACAGGAAGGGGAGGGGTGGCACCATGACAGATCAGATATTTAAAGGACTCTTTTGTAGAAAGGAAAGTAACTTTGTTATGGCTCCAGAGGATAGAACTCATCATCACCCCACAAGAGCAGAGGAATTGGTAGAATGCCTTAGATATCTTGGAGCATGACCACGGGGGGCTGTGGTAGGACAGTGATGGATGGCCTCTAAGGCCATCTCACGAGATCCTGTGATTGACATGTGGGCGTGTCTTCTCTTGACAATTCCACAGATTATTCAGGTCAAGGAGTAGACCAACTGCAAAAGGTGATTGACACAATCAAAACCAACCCTGACGACAGAAGAATCATCCTGTGTGGCTGGAATCCAAAAGGTGAGAAGCATCCCTGTTACTCTCGTGTCCAAACTGTACTACTAGCACAAAGGGAAGCCCAGTGGCTTTGCGTGGAGGCCACTGATAGGAGGCTGGACCCTGGGAACCACCCCCAGCCACATGGCTGGTGTGACCCTGGGCAAGTCACTCATGGCCCCATTTTCACCTTCAGATGATGGGGTTGGACGAAGATGATCTTAATGTGTGTATTTATACTTCTTCTACTCCGAAGAGGGCTTTAAATTACCTATAAAAATATACCAAAGGTTTTAACAGTTTAAATTGGGGCAGATGAAGTTTCATATCTTCTCCACCTGGCTGTTAACATTTTAACAGTCATATCGTAAAATTAAACTCTACCAAGGTGTACTAAATATTAACCAGAGTGGAATGTTTGCTTTTCGAGTAGAGACTTTGAATACAGGAGGGTGTGCCTGGGATGCCGGTTTCCTGTGGCCCCTGGGAATGTATGAATTCCTCCTGCTTGTAGTTTGGTGCCACGAAGGCAGCACAAGTAATTTCGGCTGGATGAGTGTGGCTTTAACTGTGAAAATACATCCTCAGACATCTCATGTTAATGGATGGGTCACTGTAGGCATGGTGCCATCCCCAGGATTGGAATGGTCTGCTTTTGACCTGGAGGGCAGTGTGGGTCATGGGAGTCACTGGCCCGGTGGCCTGTTCTCATGCTCTCCCCTGCAGGAGTTGGCTTCTGTTTCTCTCCTGTCTTGTGTGCGGCTGCGTTCTTTAAAACCACCCGCGCCTCATTTTCCTTTGTGCTGGCTCCTCAGATCTTCCTCTGATGGCCCTCCCTCCGTGCCATGCCCTCTGCCAGTTCTACGTGGTGAACGGCGAGCTGTCCTGTCAGCTGTACCAGAGGTCGGGGGACATGGGCCTGGGTGTGCCCTTCAACATCGCCAGCTACGCTCTGCTCACCTACATGATCGCGCACATCACAGGCCTGAAGGTGGGCTGTGCCTGGGAGGGAACGGTGCCTACAGCACTGAGCTCTTAGGTTATTTAACGTGGAAAAACTAATTGCAGAGAAGTCAGTGTCTGGTTAGTTCTAAAATGTGATCTGTGTAAGAAACGAAGCTGCTCACCTGGCAGCCTCCCAGGGAGCTCTCTTGTCTTTGCGGTCTGGATAAGCAAACAGGTTTCTGTGGGTTATTTATAAGACAAGACAACTTTTGTGAACATCAGCTTTTCTCAAAAGCTATGCTGGTGAAATTGTTTTCTGAAAAGCCTTGGAATGTCTGCATAGTCTACATAATGTGCTTTCAAATGATGTGTCTGAAAGGAATTGAAACTAAAACATTTGCCATTTTGCTTGCTCCCATGGGATTTAGCCAGGTGACTTCATACATACTTTGGGAGATGCACATATTTACCTGAATCACATTGAGCCGCTGAAAATGCAGGTAAGAATGATATGTCACACTTCGGTACCTCCTCTTGGTAAGAGGTTGCCTTCTAGAACACCCCTCACATAACAGACCTGCTCTGTGCTGGGGCAGAGCTGAGATGCCCTGCTCCGACTGCAGGGACTGGCGGTGGGCAGGTGGGCGGGGACAAGGCAGACACAGCCACCACAGGCACTTCATGTGACCGCTACTGTGAGATGCTAAGCTAGTACAAGAGAGGGAGAGCCCATATTCGGACCAGTGGGTTTGGGAACCTTCCCAAAGGTAGCATTTCAACTCATTTTTAGTTCGAGAATTTAAATGGTGATGTTTTCCCTTCATATTATGTTAAATACCACACATAGGTATTAACTTTCCAAAAGTCTGTCCAAATCCCACGTTACGCCAACAAGTGACTTGAAACAGCAATTAAAATACGAGTGTCTAATGCTCAATGAGCCGAAGGCGGGGGGATTGAACCAAACCCTTTTAGCCCCTTCCAGGTGAGATCCAGGTTTTGAAAGTTCCTCCTTTGTGGGATCTTGGCTGCTTTTGTATAGAGGGCGACTTCGGGGTTTGTACAGTTGCTTCTCCGGTTGTCTGTTCCACTTATGCTGGACAGAGTAATGTGAGGTTGGAGCCTGTGTCCACGTCCCCATTGCCACCACCTGTTCCTGCCAGGAACCCCGGCTTGCATCCCTCTCTGTTGTCAGCAGATGTCATCTTGCCTCACCCTCTGCCAGGGACAGTTGAGACAGGGATTATGGGACTCAGATAACCATACTTGAGCGCCCACCTGGAGTTACAGATACAAAAGTGAAAGACTGTGTCCTGTCCTTCATAAATTTACCAAGAGCTGTCAGTTATAAGATGAGCCACACGGCTCCTGACGCAGTGGGATGCCGCAAAAGATCCTTCAGTCTCTATGTGTGGGAGAGAATCTGTCCGTTACATTCCAGGAGTGTTGTTGCCTAAGCAGGGGCAGGTGTCTGCACTATTACACTCCTGTGAAATATTTTGTTGATAAAATACTGTGTACTTGTTTCACAGGGAGAATTAAAGCAGGTTGTACAGATAATGGCAAGATAATTTTCTCCTGTTGTTTTTAGCTTCAGCGAGAACCAAGACCTTTCCCGAAGCTCAAAATCCTTCGAAAAGTTGAGACAATTGATGACTTCAAGGCTGAAGACTTTCAGATTGAGGGGTACAGTCCTCACCCGACTATTAAAATGGAAATGGCTGTTTAAAGTGCTTTTAAAGGAGGTATTTGAAGGATATTCCGCCTGTAGGGGTTGGACTGAGTGCCCAGGTGAAAGCTCCTTTGCCCTAGAGGAAGAGGGAACTAGGTCAAAAATCTCTTGGCGACCAGCAGTTATTATTAATTTGTAAGGATGTTGCCACTGGCAAACATAACCTTGCCTATTCTCTTAGTAACAAAAGGCCTTGAGTTTGGTTAGCTCACTGAGGACGTGTGAAAATGCCGAGATTGGGAATAAAGAAGTCCAGGAGAATAATAACTGGAATACTCTTAAAACGTGTACATGCATTTCAACCCCATTTTATGAAGGTCCGTGAATTTCAAGAATTACACATCAGCTCTTCCCCAGATTTGAGCAAGCTGAATAACACCAGCATTCATAGTAATGTACAGTTGTGGTTATGAACATTTAAAGTTACTTGCTTTATATATTGCTATAATAAAGGTGTGTTCTGCATTTGAGTTCTGCATTCATCTGTTTTTTTTTAAATTTTTTATTCTAGATTGCCATTCTGCTCACTTCCTGCCTAAAATAGATTTAACTGAACCCTCCTAAATAAATATGCTCTATTCTTGTTTGGATACTGCTTAGAGGTTTGGTATATTTGGGAAACGGTGACTAAACTGTATTTTGCCCTATTTTTCTGTGGTTTGTCTAATTCTGGCTGCATTTTATCATTAGCACATAATGATTATTGAGGATAAAGATTTAAGGGTTATGGAAATAATATAATGTATGAAATTCCATTTTCCTGCCCATTACTGCTGCTATGGTTTCAGTATGGTGTGAATCCTCTACTAATAAACTTAGACCGAGCAAGAATAGAAAGGCTAAACTACTCCAGGGCTGATCTGTGAAATCCTTTTACCTTTGTTGTGCACCAGATATCCCACAGTACTGCAGAACTGTTTTTACCCTGCTAATTTTTAACAAGCGTTAGATAGAATTAAGGCATTGTTCCAACAATTACGCAACCTGCTGCTTATTTTCAAAGTATAATTTAATGTCCGGGTACCAGCACTTGGTAGAAATTTTGTAAGAACATCTTTCTGGAGTTGGAGTTAAATCTAAATTTGTTTAAGGATTAATTAGGAGAATGTGTGTTTATTTGCTAAAAGAATCAATAATGACGACTAAGCTGATTCCTGAGGTTAACAGGACTTTCAGCTGAACTTGTTTTGATTGCTACGATTTCTTTCCCCTGTTTTTGTAAAACCACACCCAAAAAGTGGTTAAGCCTTTTCACTTAGGAAAGGGTGTAAGGGCTGAACATTTAATTCTCTTGAGCAGCAAGGAGTTTTTTCCAGACTTCCCCATGTGGATACTGGTGTTTCTTTACAGATTCCTCCTTCATTTCTGTTGAATAACCAGCATCCTATCAAAGACAAAAAATTTGAGTATTAATAACCGCCTGGAACAAAACTCATACATGTATTTCTGCTGTTCATAGAAATGCTGTTTTTGGATTATTTGAAATGGGGAAGGGTATACTTTATTGGCTGTGTCTCAGGATTAAATAATCACACTTCCTTTGACAACTCAACCTCTGTTGGTGAAAATGAGCCCTGGTGTCTTGAACATGATGAAGATAAACGGTCCAGATTAACAACCGCAGTCTAAACGTTTCAGTTCACTAACTTGCTAGGTGGTGCCAGGTTTGGTTTTGGGTTTTTTTTGTGGGGAGGGGGTTTGCACAAGAAGTGTACATTTTAAGGTCTCAGCTGGTGTTGGGAAGAAAGGCTGGCATTAGTGAAGGCTTATCGGGGCAATTTCACCCTGAACCCCTGACCTCAGGCCTTGGGAATCTGATATTGCTAACTGAAGAGCCATTTGTAATTTCTAGATACTGAAAATAAGCTCTAAGGAGACAGCTTTGTGGTCTAGGGTCTAACTCACAAGAACAAGTATACCAGGGGCTGGAAGCTCCTTGCTTCCTCAGGGAGGCCTCTGGCCAAGCTCACCTTAGGAGGCATGTAGGACGCTTTCTTGATGACCACTGGATACCTGAAATGTTCATGCAGGTGGTTGACATATTCACACATCCTAGGGGGAAGGAATCAGATTAGGGCAGTAATGTCTTATGTTAGATCATTCATGTGGTACTGTTAGAGCAAAGGGGTGAGCACCACTGAAGAAAGGGTGGACTTGATTGGGTGCGTGTTTCTGTGCAAATCTCTCAACCTCTGCCTCAGGTTCTCTCCCTGTAAACTAAAGCAGTGTGAGGCTTGGGTGAAGTCTCATGTGGGTGGGTACCAAAAGTCTCGTAACTCTACAGATGGTCCCCGACTCACAGTGGTTTGACTTAAGATTTTCAATTCCATGATGAAGCAAAAGCCATATGCATTCAGTAGAATTGTACTTCAAAGTTTGAATCTGGATCTTTTCCCAGCTTGTGACGTGTGATGTTGGCCTGTGGCCCCAGCAGCCCCCAGTCAACCACGCCATCACTCGGGTCAACAACCAATACACTAACAACTGTTTGTACCCATACAACCATTCAGTTTTACACTCTCACTACAGTATTCGATAAACTACACAAGCTATTCACCATTTTATTATAAAATAGGCTTCACGTCAGATGATTTTGCTCAAGTATAGACTAATATAGGTGTTCTGAGCATGTTTAAGGTAGGTAGGCTGGGCTAAGGTATGTTCAGTAGGTTAGGTGTATTAAACATTTTAAAATATATTTTCAATATATTAATATCAATATTGATAAGTATATTACTACTTCAATATACTATGGTGGGTTTATTGGAATGTTAAGCTATCTTAGGCCAAGGAAGATCTGTAAAGGTTTTGTGACCCCCAAATATAGCCATTTAGACTCCATTAAGTATCTGGGATTATTTGGGTGCCTTTAGCCAAAGGTCAGATGAATAGATTAAAATCACCCAGTGAGATCCCAACCAGCTACACACACGAGTTAGAAAAAAGAGCACAGGTTTTACTATCAGACCAATCTGTTCAAATTTGGGTCAGCCACCCTCTAGTTTTGTGACTTGGGACAAGTGACCTAACTCTGCTGCCTTACTTTGGTCATCGGTTAATGAACAGCTAGGACAGGCAGCCTAGGTGCCCGGTGCCGGGCATTCCCAAAGGAACTGGCAAGACGGGGCCGCATGGTTTCAGAGGACACAGATACCAAGTTATCGACTAGAATATGCACTATGTATAATCTACAAAGAACAGGCTACAGGTGAAGAACCAGCCCCATGGGAGAGGATGTTTTGGCCTTGAAGAATGAGCAGAAACGGGTGTCCCACGCGGTCAGAAAGCTGGGGTGCAAGCGGCGCCTGGCGGCTGCCCCGCTCACACACCAGCATTCCCGTGCAAAGGGGCGACATTCCTGCACAGAGGGACGGCAGGAGGCACTCTCGCCCACTTGTGGGTAGTCACAGCACACCGCGCTCAGCACTGGCCCTTTTCTCAGCCCTCAAGACTGACAGGACCTTTCAAGGTTGGTCCGAACCTCCCCTTAGTCCCACCTTCGGGACTGAAATGGGACAAAAGCAGAATAACCTAGGAATGTTCACTTTTTATTGTACAAAATAGACATAAAAGGCAGCATCTATGTACTCACCCCCATCTTAAGAGAAAAACCGTTATCATTGAGGCTCCCATCAACCCTCATAGGTCCCATTTCTCACCCACGGCCCCGCATTTGGTGTTGACCATTCTCCTGTACGTATTTATGCTGCCGCCATATAAAGATCATGGCCAGTGATCCTTCTGTGGTACCACATTTAACTCCAGGAGTTAATAAAGCCATATGTGCGGGTGCCTGGGTGGCACAGTCGCTTAAGCAGCCGGCTCTTGATTTTGGCTCAGGTCATGATCTCAGGGTCCTGGGACTGAGCCCCATATCCTGCTCTATGCTCAGCAGGGAGTCCGCTCAAGCATTCTCTGTCCTCCTCCCTCTTGCCCCTCCCCCTGCTTGCTCTCTCTCTCTCTGAAAATCTTAAAAATAAAGCCATATGTGTGCAGATGACTGGAAGACTGTCTTAAAGTTCACCTGGGACATATTGAGAAGGTGGAACTAGATGTGGCCAGATTACTGAATACTCCAGCGCTGGGACCAGGAGATTGGACAGAGGCAGAGAATATACGTATGATGAAAGCAAGGCTTTAGAATGGAAGGAGTTCTGGGGGCACCTGGGTGGCTCAGTCGGTTAAGCGTCTGACTCTTGATCTCAGGGTTGTGAGTTCAAGCCCTGCTGGATTCCATACTAGGTGTGGAGCCTACTTAAAAAAAAAAAACAAAAACAAAAGGAGTTCTGGCTTCCCCTGGGGTTCTACCCCACCCACGCACCATCTCATACTTAGAAAACAAAGGCAGCTACCACGAACCCAGTCCTCTGAAAGAAAAAGATCTATTCACTGCTGGGGCTCCAGTGTAATGGCCCCCTGGGAAAAAGTGGAAGCAAAGCCAAGTTGGCCTTTGAGTTATAGGACGTGGCAAAGCAGAATTCTTGGTGCCTCTGGTCTCCAGAGCCGAATTTTACAAAGTCTGACCTGACTGAGAGACGCTACTGAAGTTAACTCCACATTACCTGTTCTCAAGGCTTGCAGAAATGGAGATGAAGTCAAATATAATCAGGTGCTGAACCAATTCACAGAGGCCAACTCCACCGGCATGAGGGCAAACGGGAACTACAATAAAGACAGATTTCTATTTAATGCCTAGGGGTGGGGGTGGGCGGATAAGAGAGCACCTGCGGTGATTATGGTGATTGACCACCCGTGATTACATCATTCATTATGATCTAGGGATGAAAATAGTCAAAGATTCCCTGATCAGGCCGAAAAGAGAGTCCCTCCAGAGGGACCCGCCGGTGTGCGGTGGGTGGGGAAATGGAGGTTTGGTGTGCGGCTCCAGGGGTGCCCTTACTTTCAAACTTTTTGGCCATCAGCAACACCGAGAGGTTTTCATTGACACTTCCCAGCCTGCAGCTGTCAATCTGGAGAAACTGCAGGGCTTTCGCTTGTAGGAGTTGCTTAAATATCACTCTATTGTGGCACTGGAAATAGAATTGAAATAAAACCAGCGGAAGAGTTAACTTGGGCCTTCAGGAAGCCCGGGCTGTATTTATCCTTCGCTCTCACCTGGCACGAAGCAAGCCCTGACAATACAGGCCGGAGACCTGACTGCTCACTGCTTCCTAAATCTGCCGGTGGAAGGGTGTGAGTCACGCAAAAGTCCCACTGCTTGACATCTATGAAGGAATAATGGAGCGGATGGCAAGTGGGAGGTGAAGCAAAGCATCAGGGTGGAATGTAGTGATGGCGGTGAGCAGGTAGCTTGGACGACCAAAAACCAAAGGCTAACCAGCATTGCTCCTTTTGCTGGGCAAACTGAAAATCTCTTCCTTCACACTGCTCTGCTCGTGGGTGGACTGCCACAGGTTTTGGCAAGCATTGGTGCTTCGTTTATAAGCACAGAGAGTGAACGCAGTAACGTTTATTCAATTTGGAAGCTGGCTTTCTTAAAACCATACAGTGTGTCTCATGCCCTTGCAGGAGCAACTTTAAACTTCTGCCTTGTAAATTTTGATTAGATACTTTGGGAAAGATACATGGCCTTACATCATATGAATTGTAGGTAAAGAGACAAAAACTTTTGACTGTCTCCGACTCCAGACTCTACTGATGTGCTGTAAAACATCCCAAGTTCGGAGATTAAGAAAACTTCCCCACTCAAAATAACACAGGTGATGGAGCCTGACGTACACCAGTGTCCCCAGTGGGTGGCCGGTGTGTACTGACCCCAAGGAGAGGTCACTTACCTGTTCTCCGGTGGCAATGCCAATTCCTAATGGGACCAGTGCCTATAAAATATAAGGCAACCTGATGTTATTTTCCTGAGTCTTTGAACTGAAACTCCTAATGTTTAAAACTATTTACAGTTGTTTCACCACTTAGAAGTTGTGGTGTTCTTACAGTTGTTATTCACCACTCGAAGAAGGAAACGTCCCTGCTGGTGGGCTGTGTGAAGTTCTAGGAATGGCAGAAGATCAGCAAGGGGATTATGTGTGCACACAGGAGGGGCTTGTTCCTATGCTGCCATTAGCTCCCCTCCTGCTAGAGCTCTGCAGATTCTCCCCGCCGCCCCCCTTCAGTGGGTGTTCTAGAACCCTCTCCCTTCAAGCTTAGCAAGTGGCCTTAGATCCACTTTACCGGTCAGGCTGAGCTCGTTCCTTACCTGGTGAAATCCTCACCTGGCGAATGCTGGAGTCTTCTGAACATAGCACTCTGCTCTCTGTCCTCCCACCTGAAGCGACCTCACCCCACCCCGGCCCCAGGCTGCTCCCCTCATGCCCCCACTGGGATCACCTCGGGCACCTGCGGTTTCTCCCCAGCTTATCTGCCCGTAGTTTAGGGAATAATATCCAGGGCACTGCAAGCTAACACTGTCTGAGCTCCTACTACCTGTCCGGTGCCGTGTGAAACCCTGCCTAAAATGACTCCTTGTCACAGCCCACAGGGACAGGAGTCACCATCGTCCCCATCTCACAAGGGAATGAAAAACAGGCACAGGGCTGGTGACCGTTCCCAGATCACAACGCTAGAAAGGGTTGGACCAAGGCTTGAACTCCAGAGCCAGGGGAGGCTTCTGAACCACTAGATAGGAAAACTTCCCTGCAGGAAAACCCTTAATTTAGGAGCCAGGTGCCCCCGATCCTGCTACCTGTCCTGCCTCTATGTGTGGATGTGGGTGAGTCACGGACAACCCAAGCCTCGGCCTCCTTGTCTCCAGGTGAGGAGTTAGAGTGGATGGTCAGTGGGGCACCTTCTACCTTCCTGGTTTATGCTTCCAGAAACCTCTAATTTAAATGAGTGCCGTTCTCTATCTCAAAACAAAAACCAGAGTGGGGAAAAATAGTAGAGAAGGAAGAAAGCCATTTGACTCATTCATTCTACCATTTTAAAAAGCATATGTTTCTGACACTAAATACATACCAACTCCTATTTCTTCCTTTTAAATATTTCCTGAACCTGCTCTAGTCTAGCTGCCCTGTCCCTTCCCCGCCTGCCCTCCTAGATTACTGGGAAAGCCTCCTAGCTCTGTTCTCTGCCTCTGGTTTCTTTCTGCCTGTTCCACACTCCCCTGTACTGCATCTCAATCCATCCTACATGTTTTTGCCAGTCAAATCTTCTCTGATCCCATTCTCTCCTTCAAGACGCTATGGTGGCTCACTGTGTTGGGCGGCATCTTCTGTGCAGATGGACCCATCACCCAGCCCCAGGGACCTGTCTTTCCCACAATGCCCGACGTGCTCCTGCCCTCCGCTGGGGATCTCCTCGGCCCCACCTGTGCCGGCTGACTCTGCAGCTTCCCCCTGCCTCCGGCTGTCTGTGCCCACATCACAGGATACCTCCTGAGGGGAGGGCCTTCCCCCGTCCCCTGTTGTGCTTTCACAAACAAAACCTCAGAGGGCTGAAGCCCCGAAGAGCTTCCAATGAGACTCTCTGGGCGGGGGCTTGTGTGGGGGGGTGCAGGTCCCTGTGTGGGCAGGTGGGCAGCACTAGGGCGTGGCTACCCCCAAAGAACCCCAAGGTGAAAGTCTTCATCAAACCATGGCCTCTGACCAGATTCTCAGAAGTTTTCAGGTCTGTTTAAACCAACACGGTACCCTGTGGCTCCTGTTCGTCCCCCTCCCCCGACCCTGCCGTGCAGCTTTGCTCAGGGTCCGCTCTTGTCTTACCTGCCCGAGCTTCCCCACCGCCCCAGCCCACCCCTGTGTCTTCCTCCTGTCCTCAACACTCGGCCACCCCCCAGCCATGCCATTTATCTTGGGTTCACGTATCTTCATTTCTCTGTGGCTCGGCCGTGAAGTGGGGAGAATGGTGGGCACCCCTTGAACACAGGCTTCTGGGGACGGCCTGACAGCAGCAGCTCATATGTTCATGTCCTGAGAGAAATGGGGAAGGATGGCCCCCGTAGGACCCACAGTTTCCCACAGGACACACTGAGGTGTCCCTCCCAGAACGTGACACTGCCTGTCCTCAGAGTGAAAATTTTCAAGTTAGGAGAGAGTATAGCAATGAAGAGTCACCTCAGGGGGAAATCTGCTCCAGGCAGGCAGGAATGGCCTGTAAGGCCCAACGGCACAGTGTTGGGGGGAAAGGGGCATCAGAGGAAAACATATAAGGGGAGTTAGGGGTAAGTGCTGGTCAGGAAGGGGTAAGGCTTAAGACTCAACATGCCTTGTGCCAGGAGCAGGCACAGCCACGTTCTGCGGATGGATGCGTGGGGCTCCCCGGACCAACACCGTCGCATATTCAAATCACACAACCCGTTCCTGCCCCAATTCCTCACTCATCCAACAGCCTTTGGTTTAATGTGGCTCCTGGTGGAGCTTGCTCTGGTCAGAGGGTACGGACATCTAGTGCTCCCAGAAGTTGGGAGTTCTCCTCAAAAGTGACCCGACATTCTGGCTTTATGTATTTCAGTGCTGGACACTGGTGAAAGGGAGACACTTCCTGAGAAAGGATGTTCCTCAGATGTTCTGACGTATCAGGGTCTCCCTAAACCTGAAAGGTGGGGAGGCCAGGTGGATCTGTGCAGCAGGTGCCCTGGTGCAAGGGCTCTAGGCAGCCTCCTGGGCGGGGGGGCTGACATTGGCATTAGCTAAGCAAACCTTTTCTTTCGGGTCAAGGGGGGGAATCTACACTTTTGTTTCATTCGGGGTGAAAAAAATATTTTAGTATCAGTCAGGTTTCTCTATTTACAAAGTATGGAGTCGTGTCTATTAATCTTTGGATTACTGGCAGACTTTTAACTTTTAGCAATTTACGGTCTCTAAAATAAAGAGAAATGTAAAAGGAAATAAGCAAAGGAGCTTTAGGATCTGACACGGCCACTCCAGAAAACCAACCAAACAACAACAACAAAAATATATAGCGGCAGGAGCAGGAGCAGTTTTTCTACCTCGGAAATGGCTGCGTGTCCCAGAATGTCATCAGGGGAGGTGGGCTCCTCAATCCATAGTGGCTTGAACTCAGCCAGCTTTGACATCCACTCTACCGCCTCGGGCACATCCCAGCGCTGGTTGGCATCCATCATCTGCAGAGAGAGAGAGAGAGACCCTCCACCACGAGGTCTGCCTGGTGCTGACCTGTGCCGGGCTATAGCTCTCAAGGACGAAATGCTGTCACTTGGTGCCCCCGACTGCCGAGCAAGACTTCTGGAGGGAGCCCGACATGTCTTCTGTGGAGGACCAGCATGCAGGCAACATGAAGGTGGCCAAAGAGCTGCCACCAAGACTGGAACTGTGGCTCCAGATGTGTCTTCTGACAGGGCCACTAGGATGTCCGGAAGTGCCCTGGGCTGTGCCCAGGAGAAGTGCTCGCTGGCCCTGGAGCTCTGGCCCAATCTGCATTGAGGTGCCACCCAATTGCATCTGTCTTGCAGTATCCATTGTTCTGGAAACTATTTTATCACATTCCAAATCAGGCCTCATCAATTCTGAATTTGTTCACCAGTCATTTTGACGCTTGCCAACTATGAGTCTGGCACAATAATACATAACCCAAACTCTACCATTGATGAAGTACCTACCCAACCGGGCAGTTTATGGATTTTGTCCCATTTAATATTTAGAACTCTATGAAGCAGTTCATATTAGCCCAGTTTACAGAAAAGAAAGCTGGTATGCAGAGAAGTTAAGGAACTTACCAAAAACATAAGTCACGTAAATGACAAGTTCAGGGCCAGGTCTCTAACTCCCAGGCCCTGGCTCTCTGGAAGCCAGGTGCTGGGTGTGCAGACACCAAGAAAGGGCCTCTCCACCCCTGACATTATCACGCTTGATGACAGACATGGGGATGGATGTGTCCAGTAGAAAGTGCTAAGTGGTATATGAGTTCCCTCAGGGGCCACTGTGAGGACCAGAGGACAGTACAGCTAGAATCACTTTGTATCACAAGTCATCTGGACAAGGACGGCCCCATAAGACAAAAGTCATGTTAACTCGTGTATAAATGGTGGCACTTCTGATCCTAGGTCAAGGATTCAACTATTTCTGTTACCTTACGAAACATGCCTCCAAAAAGCATAAAAATATCTTACTGTGACTTTATAAAAATATTTTACACGTAGTAAGAAACATCTTATAAAAATATGTAGTGAGGAATGACTGATCCTTACATTTATCTCTGCAAAAGTTTGGCATTTCTTCCACTTTGGCTCCCTGAGACTGGCCTACCTGCTGAACCAGGCAGGATGTATTTAAGAGAAATTAAATAACAAAGGCACCAAGGGGGGGACCTGTTTGCTCAGGTGTATCCGTGCTAGCAAGAAGGAACAATCCCTAACCCGGATCTTACTTAAGGAGTTCTGCAGAGCAGACACATTTAAAACTATCAGCTCCTTCAGTTTTTTTTTTTTTTTTTAAAGAATTCACCCATTGCAAGACCACACAGCTGTGCCTCCTCTCACATTCAGCTTTAAAATTCCCCACGAGGGGGCCTGGGTGGCTCAGTCATTGAGTGTCTGCCTTTGGCTCAGGTCATGATCCCAGGGTCCTGGGATCAAGCCCGCATCAGGCTCCCTACTCTGTGGGAAGCCTGCTTCTCCCTCTCCCACTCCCCCTGCTTGTGTTCCCTCTCTCGCTGTCTCTCTCTAATAAATAAATAAAATCTTAAAAAAAAAAATTTAAAAATTTCCAACGTTCTTTAATCCTTGCTTGAGATGAGCTGTATTTGGCCCAGGACACCGGCTTCATATGAGTTGCTCTTTCTCAATGGGAGGGGAGGACATTTACCAACGTCTTCTCGGGTCCAATCATGTTTCGGATGAGGCGGCACCTGCGGATGTCATCCTGGAGGTCAGCACCCACTTTTACCTTAAACCTATAAAAGAAATGTGGTTTGGGGATTGAGATCTGTCCCCTGACATGGCAAAGACACGTGGGTTCTCTGCCTCTGCCGACAATTCATAGGTGACTTCTAGTAACCTCTTGCCTCTCCCCCAGTTGGTCTCAGACAAGCCACTTTGAGGGGCGCTTGGGTGGCTCAGTCGTTAAGTGTCTGCCTTCGGCTCGGGTCATGATCCTGGGGTCCTGGAATAGAGACCCATGTGGGGCTCCCTGCTCAGTGGGGAGTCTGCAACCTCTACCACTCCCCCTGCTTGTGTTCCCTCTCTTGCTGTCAAATAAATAAATAAAAATCTTTAATAAAAAAAAGACAAGCCACTTGAAAAATGACCCAGTCGATGTCTCAGGGCAACAAGGCCACATCACCTGCTGACTCGAAGTCAAGGAACTAGGAGAGCAGTCAGATTTTTTTTTTTAAGATTTTATTTATTTGACAGGGAGAGAGCGAGAGAGGGTTTTTTTTTTTGGGGAGTGGGAGAGGGAGAAGCAGGCTTCCTGCTGAGCAGGGAGCCCAATGTGGGGCTCAATCTCAGAACCCTGGGACCATGACCTTGAGCCGAAGGCAGACACTTAACTGAGCCACGCAGGTGCCCCGAGCAGTCACATCTTTAACAACACTGAGTTTTTGCTGCGCCGTGACAAGGAACGAAGAACAAAAAGCCACAGTCAGCACTAAAGAGAAGAGGAGGCTGGGACAAGGAGCCTGCCCGTCACATCCTGAATGTAAAGAGTCTGACTGATAAAGACCTCCACCTGCGGGGCTCCTTACAAGCTCGTGGGAGGTGGGGGCCGGGGGGGGGTGTGCTGCAGGCGCCTGAGGCTGGGGACTCACGTGACTTGGTCACAGAAGGAGAAGTGGCAGAGGTCTCCTTTATATTACAGCTGGCCCCTTGCAGGGAGCCCCCTTCATCTGTTCGGATGCCCAAATAGTCTCCAGAGCCGGGTCTCTACCTCCTCCCCACGACCCCAAGCCACGGTTTCAGTTGTTGGGAGACAGCGTGGTCACCCCCTCGCCGGGGAGGCAACACCACCGTGGGCGAGGCCAGTCTCCTCTCCCTCACTCAGGGATTGCTCCACATTCTCCCACTACTTTCCTCGGTGCCTGCACTCTGTGCCAACAGAAAGCCCTGCTCGCAGCACACACCCTGGCAGCTGTTGCTTCTCTCTTCCACTCAGCACTAACACACTCAAGAAGACGTTTCTGTCCCAGATGGGAGCTCCAGTTTCCAGATGCCAGGCTTCTGTGCTGGGAGGCCTCTGAAATCGCTCCTCAGCCTTCTGTGACTCACTAGGTACAACTGTTCCCACCTTTCCTGGGCACGTGGAGAGGGGAGGGGTATCAACTCTTACTGAGCACCTGTTATGACTCCCAGTTGTGCTGGCCCTTTTCAGATAAAAACATCTTATTGCGAGGAAAATCATGAGTTAATATTATTCCCATTTTATAGAGAAAGAAAATGAGGTCTGGAGAGGCTGAGCAATTTGCCCATGATCACACAGCAAGTCCTTGCAGGAGACAAAGGGAAAAGACAACAGGTTGATTCCAAATCCATCACAACCCAAGCCCCTTTCCACTGCTTCAGGCTGCCTCCTTCAAATTCTCACTCCCCAACTGTATTTCGCTGAGGAGTCAACAAAAATTCAGTGCCTCTCAAACTTCAGCAAGCACACAAATCATCCTTTACCATGGGATCTTGTTAAAATGCAGATTCCTGAGCAGCAGGTCTGGGAAGAGGCTGGAGGGTCTACATTTCTGACAAGCTCCCAGGAAATGCGGCCCCCCTGCCCAGCAGGAGGCCCGTGGCCAGGCCCAGAGTCTGCGGAGAGCCTGCTGAACTAGCACAGGCAGAACTTCCCGCAGTGTGCTACACTGATAGACTCACGGTGACCCCACATCACGAGATGATGGTTCCTCTGTATCCTGCACTGTGTCAGGTTTGGGAGCCCCCAACAACCACAATTTATCCAGAGGAAGACCCTAGGACGTCCAGGGGTCCCTATTCACACAGGAAAGAGACAGGAGAGAAGAGCCCATGGTTGGTCTGGAGAGAAACAGCCTGGGGAGGAGAAGGGCTGCCACTGGAGGGGATGAGAGGGCGCCTGGAGACTCCGTGGAAAACTGGAACCAGTCACTGGAAGTTCTCTGGAAGGGAAGGTTTCAATACATTGAAGCTCTTTCTAACGCATGGATCCCTCAAACCAGTTAGGCTCACTGCCTCTGCAGGTTTTCAAGCATTGAATCAATGCTTCTTACTGATAGCAAAGAGTGGATTTCTCTTCTAGACTAGTGCTTGAGATTGACCATCTTCAAGCTCTGTTTCAAATCTGATGTTCTAGGATTCTAACTAGGACTCACATCTCATCTTTGGAGGAAGAGCCTGGCCTACGTTGAAACTTCTCCTATGAATCCCTACATGTCAGACTGTTCTGGACGAATCCTGGCCTCCTTGGTGCCTTTTGCTCCTGGCTCCTCTCCACTGCCGAGCCTGTCGTGACGGGGAGAGTGAAGCGCATTATCACACAAACAAGTTACCTGGTCCAGCCGTCCTTCAGTGCCTCCGTGCAGAGCTGTGGGAGAAAGGAAGACAGCCACCATCACAAACCCAAAAGCTCTCTCTGGTCTAACGAGTACCCCAGCTGTCTCTGATGTGCTTTCACAAACACTGGCTGCCGCATGAACCAGAGAACAACCACATGTTGGTGAATTAAGAGCAGGAATGGCTTAGTCAACAGAGCATAACTCCTTGTACTTGTAGGACGACTTTCTTTCCTTATCTCTAGGGGAACAATTTCTTGAATTGTTCACAACATTCCTAGAAGGGAAATGGAGCATTTAGGTCCCCCTTCTTAAAGCGAGGATATTCTGCAGCATCCACAGAACGCGTGGATGTAAGGGAAACAAACAGAAGCTAGTCTTTCAGCTGTGTACAGGGTGGTGGGGAAGTCATAAATCAACCAGGCTCTGACGGCATGCTGTGTGCCAGCCACCGGGCTATGGGCCTTACACAACTCACAGCATTATTCGGAGTCCCCCAAACCACCCACGAGGTACATATCATTTCCCCACTTCACAGTAAGGAAACCGAGGCTCAGCATGGTTCGGTGAGCACAGTACCATGTGACCCTGCTGCCTCTGCCTGGGAATCAATCCCGGGCTGTCACCTTCCAGAAGCTGAGGTGGGACACACTAGGTCACAGAGTCTCACACCCATAATGTGAGTGGCTTTACTTCGCTCTGGTATAAGTACTTTCAGGATGGGGCCTTGGATCCATAATGATTTAGAAAGGCTAACAAGAAAATGCCAGAAAGCCAGGAATATAAAACCTGTCTATAAAACCAGGTTCCAGTGCCCACCTGCTTCAGCGTGTCATCGGAGTACCCCAGCCAGGCACACGACGTGGTGTAGGCAGGGTATCCGTGCATCAGCATTTGCCCTTCTGGGGAAACACAATGCTTGTCAACATTTTGTGCTTTCCAGGCACCTTCAGAATTACAACTGCCTTTAGCTAAGCTGCTCCCTCAGAGGATCCAGCCTGTTCTCCTGACCCTGCCTTTCATGTGTACCCAGCCCCAAGCCCAGCCTCTGGCCACATTCACAATCATGCAATTACCAAGGATGTCAAACTACCCCAGGTCTTCCTATTTGTCACACTCAGGGAGCTGCTTCATCCAGATGCAACCCTTTGTCAGAGGGCCTCACTGCTGGGTATGGGGCATTTGGGAAGATGATGCGAACCCCAAGAGGACAGGGACCCTCAAAAGGACAATGAAAGCAAAAACAATCAAGGAAATTTCCTCACCACCCACCTCTCTCTTTTTTACCAACTTGACCTTTCTGCAGTATTTCTGGAAAAAAATAAGAAGCGTCATCACTTTTTCAGACAACAAAGCATGCTACTACATTATTTACACATCAGCAGGTACTAGAAAACTTCTACTTCCGTCACTCGAGTATGACTCACCATAGGCTTCCTCCTCGGTCAGGACGTCTGTGATGTACCTGAAATCGATGCAGGATAACAGCGTCCTGGGGTCCTGGCAGCGTGACAGGAGAGGGGAAAGGCCCAGATCAATTCACAAGCAGCTTATGTTTCTAAGGATGGACTTACCCTTTCTGGGAAAGGGCCTTCAGGATTTGTGTTAAATTGTTTGGTTCTGTCATTCCTTGGTACAGAGCTCTTCAGAGGGTCAGTGCCGCCTCCCCAAGATGTCCTAAGGCCCTCGTGCGGCAACCTCTCCCTCCCTCCTCACCCCTTCCCTCCCCTTCCCTCCCCTGACACTTAGGCTCCACCGGCCCAACTAACATGGCTCCTGGAAGGAGGACTGGGCAGGAGGCAAGCACTCAGCATGAGTTAAGTGGAGAGATGAGTGCCTGGCGTCCCTCTACATATAGGTCATTGCTCCACACTTCAGGGCTGACCATGATCTTGGAGCAGCTCAGTGGGAGAGGAAAGAAGGTTGGTCTCAGAGCCAGGCCCTCCAGGGTCAACCCTGTGCCCACCGTTTATTAGCAGCCTGAGCGTGGGCCATCTTCTCTTGTCAAATTGGGACAATTCACTTCACCGACAGGAACAGATCGGATTCACCATGAGCGACCCAGTACACAGCCTGGCCCTGGACCATCACTGGCTGTTCTCTCTCCTGCTCTTCCTGCCCCTCGTTCACTGCTCTGGCCACGCTGGCAAGGTGGACATCCTCGGCTGGGCCTCTGGCTGAGACCCCTCCCATCCCAGTCTAACAGCTGGGAAGCAACCAGTAGCTTCACTCCCACTCACGTTGTACTGTGACCAACAGTACTCCACTGGTCTGTTAAAAATCGTAAAAGCTGGGCACCCGGGTGGCTCAGTTGGTTAACCATCTGCCTTCGGCTCAGGTCATGATCCCAGGGTCCTGGGATGGAGCCCCACAACTGGCTCCCTGCTCAGCTCAGCGGAGGGTCTGCTTCTCCCTCTGCCCCCACCCCAGCTTGTGCTCATGTGCACACGCTCTCTCTCAAAAATAAGCAAAATCCTTAAAAAAAAAAAAAAAGTAAAAGCTCTTTCAATGCTGAGATTCTGCCCCTTTCAAGACTATTGGCCGCTACTGAAACAGGAAATAGGATCCAAAAGAATGAAGTCACAGGCATCTTCTCTAGTGGCCCTCAAATCATTCAGTTTTGGAAGCCACCTCCTACAGCCCTCTGAAAGGCTGACCTTGAGCCTAAAGGCAGCTCATGTCCTTCCCCTTTGGATGGGGCTCCACACCACCAGCAACTATGTCAGACAGATGGTGTGACAGCCCGCCTCTTTTTATTTTCTCCCAGAGAAGAGGCAATGTCTGCCCACCTACAGTCTTCAAGGCCATGGTGTTCTTCGTGTTTCCTTAATTGTGATGCCAAATAAGAACAGGGCCTTCATTTGTTGACCACCAGAGTTTTTAGCAGCCACCATGCAAGACATCACCCTGAGGCAGCTAATGCTCAGAGGTTAAGTGACATGCCCAAGGTCAACCCGCAAGTGGTGGAGCCCAGATTCAAAGCCAGGTCTGCCTGGGCCTGAAGTTCACTCCCCTTAACTTGTCCAGACTTTTTTCCTCCTCAGCTGCCAAGTGCTCGACCCTGCCATAAATAGGCCAAGGAAAAAGGAAACATCGAGGTGCCTATCTTCAGCATTTGGCTCCTTCCCTTCCGGAATCAGACAGTGGAGACCACCACAGTCTGATCCATCACTTTCTCTTAAATTCAAAGTGACCAGATGATATCTTAATAATATCTTATGTATTATATAAGATAATAATATCTTACTAATAAAGTCTTGCTCTTCAGGAAGCACTTTTATCATTTGGTCTTTAAACAAATTCTATGAGGTTCTCAGAGAAGTGACAACTATCCCCTTTTCACAGTTAGGAAACAGGCTCAGAGAATTTGCATTACACATGAAAACTCCACAGTGGGGGGAGGCAGAACCTAAACTCAGTGCTTCCCTTGGACCATTCTGCCTACGTGAGCACAGCCAGCTGTTACTTCAAATATCAGAAAAGAAATAGTAGGGGTTAGCGGGTGTTTGCTTCATCAACACTATGGTGATCTAGAGACAATCCTGAGTATACCTACCGATTATCGAAAGGCAAGTAATCTGTGAAGTCCATCTCATTGATGTTATAATGTTATTATAATTATTTAACATCACAATGTTAAAGAATTTACTTACCATGTCAACAAGTAACTTCCACAGAGGCTTGAAAAAAAAAAGAAAGAAAGAAAAGAATAGTAAAACATGTGTAAAGTACCCATTTTTTCCTGAAAGTAAATGCCAACACCAACTCTCAAACACCTGCCCTCTTTTTTTCCTGCATGCCGGGGTCTCTAACGCTGCCTCGTAACCCCTCACCTTTGCTGCCCTTCCATTTCTTTCTCAGCCCTTTTTAACCAACTCCTTTAGTTTCCTAACTACTGCCAGGGAGAAAAAGAATCAAACAATTCTCTATATTTCTCTTGGAGGCCTGCTGTGTATGTCTTTTGTCATCAGAAGGCTGCTCATAGAGGAAGTGTTCATCCCTCTGCCATGTGTCGGATTATTCCACAGAGCCCCCCAAGTGCTCCTTCGATGAGTTACCTTTCCCTCCTGCTTGGCCCACAGGTCCCACACAGCGTTGAGAAGGGCTGCGGTAGCCAGATGCACAACACCTTTCTCAGGACCGATCTGGTTAGGAAGCAAAACACACCAGCACTTCTTAGAAATGAAAGAGATTTAGGTCTCCTAGCCAGGGACACGTTTCAGGACTTAAAAGGCATCAGTAAAAGCTCATGTAGAGGTTAAGCTTTTTTTTTTTTTTTTTTAATAGTTTCTAACCTATAGAAAAATGCAAGAACAGCACAAAAAACTCTTGCATATTCCCCCCACCTCTATAAATATGTAAATATATACACACACATATACATATACAAATAGAACATATATAATATAAATAAAATTGATTTTACTGAACCATTTAAGTTGCAGCTATCATGCCTCTCGAACCCTAAAAACTGTGTAGGTCCTAAAAACAAGAATATTCTCTCACATAACCACAGTAGTACAATGATCAAATTCGGGGAATAGGACATTGATAGAATACTACTGCCTAAAAGACAGTCTATAGTCAAATTCTGCCAATTGTCTCAATAATGTACTTTATTTTATTAACATATTGCCTTTGTTCTGCCTCTTTAGTCTCTTTTTGTCTGGAATAATTTTTCCAATTTTTTTTTAAGATGTGTTGACATTTTTAAAGCACACAGGCTAGTGGACTGGTAACAGTGTCCCCAGTTTGGGTTGGTCTGGGGTTCCTTCATGATTGGGATTCAGGTCACATTTTTTTGGCACAAGTTCTAAGCAGACAATAATGTCATTTTGGTTTTTTATTTTTTTTATGATCTTCCAGCCCTTAGGTAAGGCAGGGTCCACGGCACTGCTGCACTGTGAGGTTACCATTTTCCTTTTCTAAGTACAGAGATTTAGGCATGCATTGATGAATCTTGCCTCAATCAGTTATGGCTACAATATTTGCAATACGGTGATTGTCTAACCTTATCATTCTTTTTACATTAAGTTTTTATTCTATTATAATGACAAGCTTTTCCTGGTTGCTTGTTCACTACCTTAAATGGACCCATGGATTCTTAGGTTTTTCCATGAGTTACAAGCCATTACTAACGTATTTATTTTGATCCTTGAATTGTCCCAGATTTGGCCAGTGGGAGTTTCTTCAAGGGAATGCCTTGAAAAGCAAGTTCAACGTGCTTTGCAGAAAGTTCAAAATGAAATCCACAGCAAGATGGCAAGTGCCTTGCCTTGTGCCTTTCTCCATGCCTGGATGAGAGCCTGAGCAGAAGTAGCAAAACACAGAGCTGATGTCAGAAGACAAGGGCAAGGACCCAGTTATTGGACTGACTTTAGTGGGATAGAATCCTTTCTCTAGAGCCTCACTCTTTTCATGCCTTGAACTTAGGGTTCAAAATATAGACCTTTACACATAAAAGTACTCTGGTCTCTATCTTCTTAACTTGGCTCTTCTCTTGTTTCTGGCTTTAATAACTTCCTCCCCCAACTCCAATACTACCCACATACTCTGTCACCCAGTAAGGCTGCGGATTCAGTACCTAATCTTCTAGAGGGTCTAGAACACTTCTTCCACTCAAGGAGTAGGAGTAGAGATGAAGTCTGTAGGGCTCTCAGGATCCAAATATGTCCAGATTCAAGTCTTACAGAAAGAAATCAATTTCCTCCAAACACTGTCTAAATGGTTCAAGCCCTAATTTATCTCAATACCATGTTTGACCTTAGAATTGTAAGCCTGTTTCTGTTTTCACATTTGTTGCCATCAAAGGACATCTTAGACCTTAGTAACATTACTCATAGAAGCATTTTATAAAATTGTCCCCTTACCCATCTGAGCTGCCCGTCGCTTGTGAGCTGCCTGTAGAAGCCTCTGAAGTCACTGACGATGTCCCTGAGGTCCTTGTTAAGCACATGGTGGGCGAGGGCATTCACAGCACAGACAACTATTAAGTAAGGATTCAATTCTTGTGTATGTTTTGGTAGGAAGTCAATAAATTAAGACATGAAAATACCACAAACTAATGTGGGCGTTTTATGAAAGAAACTTCAAATACATAAGGTACATATTTTTAAAAACTGTCCCAAATATGTCTTCTGTGTTTGTCGTAAGTAATACATACATATGGAAGAGCTGTTAATCCATACATGGAGCTTCATTTGAGTAGAGCAAACATATTTTGAATGGTTGCTGTGCGAAAAACGGAGCCATCAATACAAAAGTTTAAGTCATACTCCCAATCTATTTTCTTGTTCACTTTGGAAAGTGTCTGTACAGGCAGTTTCAAAACCAAACCTTGCTAGTTCATTGTTCCTAAGGAGTAAGAAGACCCTGACTTATCACCAAAAAAAAAAAAAAAAAAGAAGTACCTTCTAATTATTGTCAAGCACAGAAAATATCTTGAATTCACAATATAACACACAAAGATGAAATGAATTTGCAATAAGCATAATACTTACATGTAAAATGTTAAAGTACATGAAAACACTTTTCTGAAATATTACATTTCTTCCTATTGACTTACTTATGATATACTACTCTTTTCTTAAGTAATTTGAAAGTTAAATTTAACTTGGTTCAGCATGACCACTGTTTTTTTTGTTTTTGGTATTCTATTGAAGGCTTTATTGTGTTATTTCAGATGAAGAATAAGTAACAAATTGAATGGGAGAGACCCTTCTACCTTTTAGTCATTCTGGAAAAACACTTAGTCTATATATCAATGGCCAAAATAATCAAATTAAGTCATCTGATTAGCCCCAAAGCAATTAATTTGTTACAAAAATTTTTGATAAACTTGTTTGGTGTTGCCATTTCTGTGATATGACTCAGACCATTTCATAGGACAGCTGGAGAGGTACAGTTTTACAGTCGGCCAGATCCTAGGAGAAAGACCGTTTCAGTATATGAAACATGCTGTCAGGACGTGCCTGGCCTCTACGTGGAGAGCACTCAGATGATTGCACACTTGCTGTTAAATACAGCATTAGGGCTGGACCAACCATTCCATCTTCTCTAGGGCTTTTGTTAGTGGAATATAGAATCATTCCAGTTCAGACATGTAGTCCCTAGAACGGCGAGAAGACAGAATCCTCCTCACGCCTTAATGGTTGGTGCTCATAGATTAAAGACCTCTGAAGAGTCTGTCAGCAAGTCACAGAGAGGTACACCATTATCCAGTAAAACCTCCATCTCATTGATGAGATGGTGGCCAGAAATCACTGATGAAGCACACCTCTGGCTTGCCCCACATGGCAAACGCATTTAACACAAGACCTCCTCTTTTACAGCTTCCAAGAGACGCAGCACTAATATATTCATCTAGAGTATGTAGATTGTCCTTGCTCAAAAGGAGGGCACTGCAAGAAACTAACTAAAATTTCGTGCATTTGACAGAAATTTGGGTACTGGTGGTCATCCACTGTATGGGACAGTCTACTTCAGGTTTGCTTTGCTGCCATGGGTGGGAGATTTCATCTGGAAAAAACTGGGCATTGAAGGCAGTGCCTTGCTGACTAACTCCTTGGGATCCCGACCCAGGAAGGACATGTCCGTAAAGCCTATAAATGACCATGGGTGCCTGAGCCCGAGGGCTGGTGTGAACACTTACAGCTCTTTTTGTCTCTTTAGAAATTCTTCTTTCTCCATCTTTTTTTCCTCTATTAAAAAAAAAAACTATGTTGGTTTATTCTAGTAAAAAAATAACTAAAACCCAAAAAAAAAAACTCACACACACATTCTAGCACTGCCTTCACAGTAATGAGGAAACCACTATTTCTTATTTTTTTTCTCCGATCATAAAAGAATGAACTACCAGGTAAGTAGGCTGACAAAGGCACAGAAGAACTGTGATGAGCTAATGGGATTTTTTTCAACTTTAATGTGAATGCCATGTAACACATTCAGTGAGACCGTGGTAAATTGCCTGAAATATGGAGCAAGGTTAAAGTTAAAATGGGTTCTGTCATGTTGTGGTCGACAAAAGGCAGAAGCCGACTACATCACCGCAAAAGAGCCATTTATTAAAGGTGTAGAGAGATGGAAATTGATTCACGTCGGGCGGAGATGCCCATCAGGACGGCTCGGGGATGGGAGTGGAGGAGGGACAGGTCAGCAAAGGCCCCAAAGCACAGAGCTCAGCAACCAGGGAGAGGAGCCTCCTATCTCCTATCTCGTGTCTTAGTGAGCACACCGGGTCCCTCCACCTCGCGCCCGAGTCAGCAAAGTTCAAAGTCTCGGCTATTAACAGAGTGGTTCCAATGGCCGTTCCCTAACATATTTTGTAAGCTTGCTGAGTGTTACACAACCTTTGGGGGCCGCCCTATATGGCCTGCAGTATGGAGAAGGCGGCTTCATAAAGTACTCAACTTACACCAGAGACAAAGTTGCAGGGGAAGCTGACACACGGCTCACAAACCTGTCGTGATCAGCAGGCACTGCCTTACAGAAAACATTAACAGCAAATGGTTGACTTAATGCAGAGGGATGCAGGGAATAGTTGCTGAGTCTGCTCCTGCTACCTGGCAAATTCCTAGCTTCAAGGAATAATCTTCAAGACTAATCTCACAGGCTCACCTCTGTTCTGAAGCTGCCCAAGACCCTCCTGGACAATGAACTAACCTTCTCTCTGTGTAACTTGTACCAGCTTTTAAAGAACTGTTCTTCTCACACCGCATGATCCTTTCTCCTATGGTTGTGTCCCTGAGAAATTTGTGCATTCCTTCTGTGTGTGTGCAGGATTCTGTCCCCTTTCTCTATCTCACTAAAATGATCTCTCCAGTGCCTGACACGTGGGAGCGCTCAAGGGAAATCTCTTACAGAACTGGCTGAGGGCACGACTGAAGGCCAGCCCTGTGAAGAGTGGAATAGTGGCCACCTCGCATCCACTTAAAGTGCAAGAAAGGTTCCCTTGTCCTCACACACACACACGTGCGCGCGTGTACACACTCACCTTTCATCTGCATGACAATATCAGAATCTTTCAGTGGGGCAAGACTTCTATTTTACATCTAAGGGAGAGCTGACAGTGCAAATATCCATGGGAGAGGTTCTACTGCATCACCACCAAATTTAGAGAATCTGTTTCCTTCCTTTTTAGATCCTTACACCTCAACTGTCATCATTTGGCTTCAGACCCTAATGATCCATAGAAATTGATCTGGCAAAGGTCACCTTTTGTACTTCTTGAATTTTGTACCTTGTACATGGATTATTTCAAAACAAAAATCAAACAAATAATTTGTATTTAAATGTTGTGGAAAGAGGGGTGCCTGGGTGGCTCAGTCAGTTAAGCTTCTGCCTTCGGCTCAGGTCATGATCTCAGGGTCCTGGGATCGAGCCCCACATCAGGCTCCCTGCTCAGCGGGGAGCCTGCTTCTCCCTCTATGTTCTCTCTCTTTCTCTCAAATAAATAAATAAAATCTTTTTTTAAAATGTTGTGGAAAGAAAGCACTTCAGGGAGTGGCTAGCTGAGCAGCTATCTGGGCCTCAATCTCCTTATCTAAAAAATGAGGGGCCGCAAGACCCCCACTGAGCTCTCTCCAATTCTGAGAGAAGAACTGCACTCATAGCTCAATGCACAACCTGCTTTGCCCAGATACCAGCTCTGAAACAGGGCAGCCAGAGGCCCTTCTGCCGTGAGGAGCAGTGGGCCTGAAACCATTTGCTGTGCAGTACTTTGAAGAGCAAGTGGCTCACTGTGCACATCCCAATAAGCCTTGCTACACGAGTGCCCATCTGTCCCTGTTATGTCCCTCAGCCGCCCACCTAGCTCGGGCAGAGAAACAGGCCGAGGTCCACAGATGTGAACGCAGTCCATTGACCCCTGCAAGGAGAAGGGCCGAGTTCTGCCGCCTTTTCATTTCTCCCCATGAAACAAATAATAAACCACAAAACATTCTTTACTCACCCTCAACAGTGTAAATACAGAGAAAAGTAAGGTCACAACTGGAATCTAAGTGAAAACGAAGCATTCCAGAACCTTAACGAGAATGTTCAACTCACCAACTTCCGTGCCTTTTCCCAGAGTGAAGGTAAGCCCGTACCCCTTGAGCCCGTCTTCCGCATCGGTCTCTAAGACGACATAGGCAGCCGAGTAGTCAGGGTCTGTGTGCTGTAGGAGAAATGCACCCCGCCCCACAAGGCAAACATGAGAAACCCAAAGGTACCCCTCAGTACATCACATAAGACTAGAAAACGCAACAGGGGATGTGCAAGAGGAGCTCAGACTCTGATGCTCGAGTCTGAAGCCTTGGTGTGCCCCGCCCCCCAAAATGGAGGAGTTCTGAATGGACAAAGGGGAAGTCCACCTGACAGATTCGTATCATTTTAACAAGGGCAATATGTACGTTTTCAGTGCCAGTTTGCCATTAGGCCTCCTCTGATGATCAGCTCAGATTTTAATCCAGGAGTTTTCACCTAAGCGACCTCTGCCAGCTCTCTGAACAGAGCTGTATTCACAAGCAGCCTCAAATGGAAGCAGCCAAGGCCTCAGAAAGCCTCACAGAAAACTGGACTTATCTTTGCTGCAGTCTGTAGCAGGGCTAAAAAGATAACGGCGCTGGTTCAGAGATCCCTGGGGGGGAAACAAACAATTAAAACTTCAGGACAAATTAGCCCGCTTTTTGTTTTGTTCTTTTTTAAAACTTGCTACTATCAAATGGTATTTTGGTAAGTGTTTACTGACCGACTGTGATGAAACTCAACCCTAGCTGTTGATATGGGGGATGGGGGACACAGAAGTGAAAAAACCAGTCTGTCTCCAGAAATTTCCCCTCAGTAGGGAGAAGAAGCAGGTGAGAACTACCGTGTGGTCAGTGAGAAGTGCCCCAGAAGAGCAAGGGAGCAAGCAAAGAGGAAGCAGGGGACTGAGACACTGGGAAGGGCGAGAAGACAAGTGAAGGCAGGGGCAAGGGAGGACCAGAGGAAACCCCAAGCCTTGTGAGACCGAAGTGGAAGGCCCCTGGGCCACCGGGTGCAAGTGAATGAAGACAAGACTGGATGGGTGGTGTGGGGGCAGATAATGGAGACCCCCAAAAGCCAGGCAGAAGATCTGAATGCATCAATAAGGAATGTAGGATGCAACTATTGATGTATTTTTGCATAGGGCGGTGACAACTGATTACTGTTTTTATTGTTATTATTACTACACAGTATTTGGTGCTCTGAAAAACTATTTTAAAAGCTACTTAATTTAGGGGCGCCTGGGTGGCTCAGTCGGTTCAGCGGCTGCCTTCAGCTCAGGTCATGATCCTGGGGTCCTGGGATCGAGCCCCGCGTCGGGCTCCCTGCTCAGCGGAGAGCCTGCTTCTCCCTCTCTGCCTGCCGCTCTGCCTACTTGTGCTCTCTATCTCTCTGTCAAATAAATAAAATAAAATCTTAAAAAAAAAAAAAGCTACTTAATTTAATCCTCACAACAATATTATAAAGTAGGTGTTATTAGCCCTATCTGACAGATAAGGAAACTGAGTTTATTTTTTTAAAGATTATATTTATTTGAGAGAAAGCAGGTGAGAGAGAGACAGCATGAGCTGGGGGCAGGGAGGGGCAGAGGGAGAGAAGCAGACTCTCCACTGAGCAGGGAGCCCCACGTGAGGCTCTATCCCAGAACCCCAGGATCATGACCTGAGCTGAAGGCAGATGCTCAACCGACTGAGGCACCGAGGTGCCCCAGAAACTGAGTTTAAAGAAGCAGAATTTAAATCCCTGTGCTCAGGGAAGGGGAGGAGGCACACAGAAGACCTTTGTCTGGCATCAAAGCCTAGTGGAGGGCATTCAGTGTGAAGGGTTGCTGGGCACCATCTGCATACCACAGGTTGTGCAGGTTGCTGAGGGGGCACAGACACGTCTGCCCTTAAGAAAGTTATAGTTTGGGCGCCTGGGTGGCTCAGATGGTTAAGCGTCTGCCTTCGGCTCAGGTCATGATCCCAGGGTCCTGGGATCGAGTCCCACATCAGGCTCCCTGCTCCTTGGGAGCCTGCTTCTCCCTCTGCTTCTCTCTCTCTCTCCCTCTGTCTCTCATGAATAAATAAATAAAATCTTTTGAAAAAAAAAAAAAAGAAAGAAAGTTAATAGTTTAGGGGCATCTGGGTGGCTCCGTCGGTTGGGCATCTGCCTTCAGCTCAGGTCATGATCCCGGGTCCTGGGATCGAGCCCTGCGTTGGGCTCCCTGCTCAGTGGGGAGCTTGTTGTCCTTCTCTCTCTGCTGTTCCTCCTGCTCATGCTTTCTCTCAAATAAATAAAATCTTTAAAAAAAGAGAAAGTGGGGCACCTGGGTGGCTCAGTCATTAAGCGTCTGCCTTCGCCTCAGGTCATGATCCCAGGGTCCTGGGATCGAGCCCCGCATCGGGCTCCCTGCTCCGCAGGAAGCCTGCTTCTCCCTCTCCCCCTCCCCCTGCTTGTGTTCCCTCTCTCGCTGTGCCTCTCTGTCAAATAAATAAATAAAATCTTAAAAAAAAAATAAAAATAAAAAATAAAAATAAAATAAATAAATAAAATAGAAAGTTATGCGAGCCTGGGTGGTTCAGTTGGTTAAGCGACTGCCTTTGGCTCAGGTCATGATCCTGGAGTCCCGGGATCGAGTCCCTGAGCAGGGAGCCTGCTTCTCCCTCTGACCTCCCCCCTCTCTCTTGCTCTCTCTCAAATAAACAAATAAAATCTTTAAAAAAAAAGAGAGAAAGTTATAGTTTAGAAGCCATGGTTATAGAAACTCAAAAAAAAAGAGGCAGGACATGGTAAGTCTCTGGGAGAGATACAAACTATGGAAGCCAGGCAGAGAGCACTATGAGCGGGATGCATTTGAAACTGGAGGAGATTTTATGATGAAAATAGAATCTGAGCTGGTTGGTTGAGGATGGGGAGCTTTCCAGTAGTGGGAGAGGGTACGAAGGACCTGGGACGGAAGAATCACCTTTGGTGACAGTGGCAGTGAAGAGACAGAAAAGGGCAAGACTGGAATGTATTTAAGGGTTGGTGACACCCTGGTTTGGCCCCTGGGTTCCCACAAGGGAAGATCCAGAAATGAGATCTGGAATCACTGGCATACAAGGGAGCACTGAAACTGTACACACAGAGGGGGTCTTACCGGGAGCGAACCATGAGACAGGAGGGCCCTTGGGGCCTGAGCCCTGCAGAGGGAAGGAGGAGGCCAGTAAGGAAGCAGCCAAAGTCAGCTAGGATGTAGAAGTGATGGCAGGAGGCAGCCGACAACGTGACCTGCAGCCCCGGAGAAAGGACACTGGAAGCAAAAATAACAGTCAATCCCAAGAGAAGGAAGGAGACAGAAGTTGATTTCAGATGAAGGAGAAAGTAAGCGTAAAGGCTGGAGACAACAGGGATGAACCAGTAATTTAGTCTTTGGTGGGGAAGGAGCGGACACAGAAGAAGAGAGATGTTAGGGTCAAGGAAAGGTCATTCCAAAGTGGGAATCCCTGTCTCTATGGGATAGAAAAGGAACCACTGGGAAAAGAGACTGAGGAAGAAAATACTGGAGATGGAGGGGATGAGAGTGGGGGCCTCGGCAGTCAAGAAGGGTGGGGATGGGGACACAGAATAGATTCGTCTGGGAGGACAGCACTCACAGAACAAAGGGAAAGATGAGAGGGTTGGTTTGGAGGCTGATGGGTAGAGATGGGGCCCACGGTGCATTTGTCTTCAGTCTTCTCCGTGATGCAGTGGGCGGTTTTCTAACTGCTGGGGGTGCGGGAATGGGAGCCGGAGGAGAGAGAGAGTGGTCTGGGAGCACAGCCACTCCTGGGAGCTCAGCAGACAATGGGGAAAGGATAGGGAAAGTATGACTGGCTGGGAAGTGGTGGTGGGGGGGGTAGGGTGTCAGCTGGAGCTGGGCTATGAGCCGACAGCCCTGGGGGGGGGGGGAACCTTGATGAGTGCCTCAACAAGCAAGCAATTTATAAGTACAGGCCTGAGCGCTCCATGTTTCCTAAAAGGCCGATAAAAAAAAAAATCACAGCTGAATCCTTTACTTTTAACAGATTTGGGGGCAGTTTCAGGGCTCCTTCATGAAAATATTCTGCTTCTAAGTGCTGAACAGAGCTGAATTGCTGAGTTCAGCATGTCGTGAGGGTTTGGGAAGCAATACCACCCAGAACTGCAAAGTAGCGCATTCTATTAAGAAGGCACATGAGAATCAGCACACAACACACCCCATATCTCTGGAAGATAACTACATAAGTATTTATGAGTTTGCAATACAGGTATCAGAGAACCTCTCTTGACCCTGAGGTCCTAAACAACTTGGGCCCAGACACAAATTCCATTTAAAACTATTCTACTTAAAACTGGGCTACTTTAACACTTCACAAATTCAAAGCAGAGAAAAATCTAGGCCAGAGGCCCTTCTACTTCAGTCTCCTCATACGTGAATAGTAATTACAGACAATACTTTTTGATGGCTTTCTCTGTATTAGGCACCTGATGGGCATCTCATTTATTACATGAAGCAGATATTATTATACCCATGTCACCGATAAAAAAAACTGAGACCTTGGAAAGAGCCCTGATGTCCATTGACAGATGAAAAAAAAAAGTAGACAGAACTAGAGGCTATTATGCTAAGCAAAATAAGTCAATCAGAGAAAGAATTATCATATGATGTGTGTAATTTAAGAAACAAAACATAGGATCATGGGGGAAGAGAGGAAAAAAATAAAACAAGATGAAACCAGAGAGGGAGATAAACCATAAGAGACTCTTTTTTTTTTTTTTTTTAAGATTTTATTTATTTATTTGACAGAGACACTTTTTTTTTTTTTTTTTTTGCAGGGGGAGTGGGAGAAGGAGAAGCAGGCTTCCCGTGGAGCAGGGAGCCTGATGCGGGGCTCCATCCCCGGACCAATCATGACATGAGCCGAAGGCAGATGCTCAACAACTGAGCCACCCAGGTGCCCCACCAGAAGAGACTCTTAATCATAGGAAAAAACTGAGGGTTGCTGGAGGGCAGGGGGTGGGGGAAGTGGTAACTGGCTGATGGACATTAAGGAGGGCACATGTAATGAACACTGGGTGCTATATGCAACTGATGAATCACTGACCTTGACCTCTGAAACCAATAATACATTATATGTTAATTAACTGAATTTAAAATTTAAAAATGGAAAAAAAAAGGAAAACCAAAGCTTAAGAGACTCGTTTAACCCACAGCTGCTACACATCAAAGGGGCAAAGTGGTTGCATTAGATCAAGTGTTTGAATTTTACAAGCCAATGAAATTTCAAACACTTATTTGGAGATCCACAAAGGATTGCCAACTGGGTGTTTGTTTTTTTTTTAAAGTCATTTAACATAAGGAACACAAAGATTTTAAAAAGCGGGGTAACTTAATCTCAGAATAAAGGACATTTAAACATAATAACTTTGCTTAGCATTTTTTTTAAAGATTTATTTCATTTTTTTGACAGAGACAGCGAGAGAGGGAACACAAGCAGCGGGAGTGGGAGAGGAAGAAGCAGGTTTCCCGCTGAGCAGGGAGCCCGATGGGGGGCTCCATCCCAGGAACCTGGGATCATGACCTGAGCCGAAGGCAGACGCTTAACGACTGAGCCACTCAGGCGCCCTAGTCAGCACATTTTTTTTTTTTTTTACGAGAGACCTATTTCTAAAAAAATATTTCAAGTTCACAAACAGCATAGGTAATGTAATGATATCAGAAAAAAATCCACCCACTTAGGAAGCACAACATTAGAGGGCTAATTAGAGTCCTCTGGTACTCATTCCCCTCCCTCCACACAGATAACAGGTAACCATCATCCTAACATGGATGTTTCTTACTTCCCTGCATTCCTTACAGACCCAGGCAATTTTTTCTCTTCTGTGGACCGAGGGCAATGAGAATCCAGTGGGTGATAGACCTCGGGGAGACCCAGTATAGAACTTCCTATATTTGGGAACCACTGCACTAGACCGTGGTAGGGATGGAGGGTGTCCTTCCAAACACTGTCAATAAGCAAACACGCCCTTCAGTATTTAGGTAGAAGGCTGCGCCTTTACATCCCCAAAGACTGGTATTTGCAAAACTCTCTACAGTGACAAATCCCTTCTAACAGTATTTTCAGGTAATTTCATGACAGCCCCCCTCACATGCCGCAGAATTACAACGCGCTTGTTTGTCTACTTTCCCAGCCAGAGTGTGCCTCCATTTCACAGATGGGCCCAAGATGCCCAGAGAGGTTAGCGTCTTCTCTAGGTCACACAGCAAGTTGTGGAGAGGGCAGGATCATCACCCAAAACACCCAGGCCCACCACCACGAACCCCACCAAGGTTTCAGTGCAGAAGAAGCCAGCATGTGTTCTAAGGTTTCGTGGGTGGGGATCCAACCAAAGCATTACGCTGTTGTTGCTTATTACGCATTCTACCATTTCCAGCAAAATGCGAATCATAAATGTAACAGGAAGTATAAAACGTCAACAAAGAAAAAATAAGTAAAAAAAAAAAAAAAGCCCAGGAGTTGTGGAGAGTTTCGGGTTACTTTTATTCCCTTTCCCTTCCCGGCCTCTTCCTTTGCAAAAGCAACGGTTCCAAAGTGGGGAACCTCCGCGACCCGTTGGGCTCCCTGCGCGTACGTGGGCCTGGATGTCCGCGGGAAGAGGCACCCGGCTGTCGCTCAGCGCTTACCATGGCGTCGGAGCCGTGGCCGCCCAGCGACGTGGGGAAGCGCACGTCGCGCACCAAGAGTCTGCAGATCCTGCCGCGCACCATGTCGCCGCGCACCCGGAGCTGCCCGCGCCGCCAATTCCGCTTCGGACCCTGTGCGCCGCGGGAGGGGCGGAGCCCGGTCCCGCAGGCGCTGATTGGCCGCGCACGAGAACTTGACCGGACCCGAGTGGCAGGCCAGGATCCCGGCGCCCCTGGACGCCCTGGCAGTTTCCACCGCGTCTGCAACGGCGTGCTGGCCCGAACCGCCCTCGCGCGGATTCGCTGCGGGTCGCGGAGGACCCGGGACTGGGGTGGGGCGGGGTGTCCCGCGTTGCGTCGGCGTTTTGGCAAGACCGTGCCCCGCCCGGACTGAAAACTCGAGAAGTAACTTTCCCCGGAGCGGCGTCCAAGAGGAAGGAGCAGGGTCTGAACAAAGTTCCGTCGCCCAATAGCACAGTTGGGCCACGGGCTCCACTCTTGACCCAAGTCAATGCTGGCGCAGCCTGGGGAGACGCTAGAAAATCCTAGGTGTCTTTAAGTGACCTCAGCCCGTTTACCTGATAAATTAAGAAGCAAGTCACCCTTTATTACACCCTTTCTGAGGCGGAGTGGTTTAAATACATTACCTCTTATCCGTCCAGCTCTGCAAGGTGGTGTAGAGATGAGATTCAGAGAGATTAAGTGACTGGCTCGAGGCTACACAGCTGGTTATGTAAGTGGCAGAGTGATCCGGCTGCAAATCCTCGGCTCTGTCCTCTGGACTGCAGGGACTGTTTAAGAGGGAACTTGGTGAAAGCTATGGATTAGAAGGCACATTGATCCTTTGCTTTGAAGTACAGCACACACCCTTTCAATTCCTACTTTTGGGGCATGCTTTGAAGAATAAATGTTTGGGAAGCACTGCTACAGACGTTATTCTATTGATTTGTGTTTATGTGGGTCTGGCAGGGATATTTTCAGGGATGCCCAGGACACTTCTGCTCCTTAAGTATGCATATAACCCTGCTGGATGAATTCCTTAGGCTTAACGTTTAAGTGAAGCAACAGGCCACTGGGACTGCAGTTAAGGGCCTTTACTCTTTGAAAGCAGTAGCCAGTTAGCTCCAGCTTATAGTGGTCCAGTGGGAATTAGAGCCCTGGATCGCTTTATGTTCTCATTTTCCAAGAGAAGTCTGAAATTCAAATATTAATGTGAAATAGCCTTTTTCCCTGCCCTGCTCTACCCACTTTTGTGTGTGGCTGGAATATATGCTCAAATCACTTTTTCAGAATGGGTCTGTGGCCTGGTTAATAAATTCTAAGTACTTTGTATTCTGAAGATGCCCTTTTCTTTTGGATTTGAATGCTGGTTTTATTACATAAAAGTCTTAGTTCAAATTAATACTTTAGTGTTAAGTCCCTTTTTTTTTTTTTGAGAGGAAGAGAGGAGTGTCGGAAGGGCAGAGGGAGATTTTTTTTTTTTTTACACCTTGGGCATGGAGCTGGACATGGGGCTCCATCTCACAGACCTGAAATCATGACCTGAGCTGAAATCGAGTTGGATGCTCAGCCGAGCCACCCAGGTGTCCCTAAGTCCCGTTCCTTAATAAGCTGGGTGGGGTTTTAACCCCCTCAAGAAAAAGTTTGGATTTTCTCCTAATGGCTTTAAAATATCACTCTTTGTGTTTAGGATTAATTTAAAAATTAATTCTGTTCTACAGTTGAGGGTTCCTTTCAACCAGAAGCAATATATTTCTCTGGAAAATGTTTCTGTATTTCTTTCATTAGTTCTTCCTCTTCATTCTTTTGTTTCCTTCATCTGGAACTTAACTGGATTGATAATTGATCTTCTGAATCTATTATCCACCCAGGGGAAAAAAAAAACTTTTTGACTCTGTTCTTTTGTACTGAATTCTGGGTATGTTCTTTGGCTTAATAATACAACTCAGATTTGATCTCCAACTGTGTTTCTTCTTTTACTCCAATTCTTTTTCCTTTGGTGTTGGATTTTTTTCCATCTGTTTTGAATTTCCAAATTTTCTTTTCATAGTACAGTTGTCCCCTCTTATCAGCAGGGGACACATTCCAAGACTTTCCCCCATTCAGTGGATGACTGAAACCACACTTAGTACCAAACCTTAGATATGCTATGTTTTTTTTATACATACATACCTATGATAAAGTTTAATTTATAAGTTAGGCACAGTAAGATTAATAATAAAATAGAATTATATCTACAAATAAAAGTGAACGTGGTCTCTCAAAAATCTTTTTGTACTGTACTCACCCTTCTTGTGATGCTCTGAGATAAAATGTCTACATGATGACATGAGGTGAACGACTAGGCATTTTCGCAGTGTGTTAGGCTATTGACCTTCTGAGGATTCATCAGGAAGATCATCTGCTTCTGGGCAGCAGGCTAGCCACAGGTGACTAAAATCAGGGAAAGCAAAACCACAGATGAGACTAGTGTACCTTCACCTCTTTTGAAAAAAATGGATGCCACACCTCTCAAAACAGTTTTCATTAGTTGCCTCCATTAAGTTTGGTTCTTTAGGTGTTAGTTTTGGTTGTTGATTTCTTTTCCTTTACGGTGGTTTTCTTCACATTAGTGTTCATATGCCCATTATTTTTTTCTCATAAGTCCGTTAATATTAATTGTTGAGAATCACATTTTGCCTTTCTGTGAAGCTAGGACTTGAAGACCTGTGTCTGGTGGTTGTGGAAGAGGGGGACACGTGGCAGCACAGGTATGTCAGCAGGTTTTCTTCTAGGTGAGGTGGCCTGTGTCCCTTCTGAGTTTTCAGAGTTGGATCCCAGGGGTAAATTTCAGAATAAACTACTCCATTTTCTGTTGCCCTTGTGGTGATCAGGGTTTACTTTAGGATCTGCTTGCTTTCCTCACCAGCCCCCAGATTCCATCTAGGACTCTCCCAAGGCAAACTGTGAACTTTGTTTTGAAAACTGTTAGTATTGTTATCAGCTTATTATACCAGGACAGGCCTACCCAGCCATTCCAAATGTTGCCCTCTAATTAATGACCCTAAAAAAAAAAAATCACTATAATTAATAGCTCTCTTACTTCTAGGAAAAATAAAGTAACAAGGACAGGATTTATACTACCATCTTTGCCAGAAAACCAGCTCAAATATTTGAAAGGACTTCAGACAATGGACCATAGGGAGAACAAGATTGACCTCAGAGAGAAGGGAAACAAAAAACCCTGCAATTGTCCCAACTCACTGTCTACAGGCTACAGCGCAAAGGGGGTGGCGGGGGGGACAAACAGAGCCTGCAGTGTTACTGAGTTGAGGAGACAAAAATTAGTGTTTATATTAGTGGAGGCCAATGAGGCTATAGTCTGAGAGGGAGAGAACAGAAGGACCCCTTCTAAACTTTGGTTGAGTACTGATAGGCACATGAATGAGAGAAAACTACTCAAATTTAAGAGCCACTAGAAAGAACAGGCAAGAAAATTATTGGCAGCAGGGGTGGGGGTGGTGGTGTGTGGGTGGCTCAGTGGGTTAAGTGTCTGCCTTTGGCTCAGGTCATGATCTCAGGGTCCTGGGATCAAGCCCCGCCCCCGTGTTGCATCAGGCTCTGTGCTCAGCAGGGAGTCTGCCTCTCCCTATCCCTTTGCTCTCCCCCGCTCATGCTCACTCTCTCTTGCACACACATGCACTTGCTCTCTCTCTCAAATAAATAAAATCTTTAAAAAAATTATTGGCAGTTGCACAGGGTTAGGAATAGTACCTGTCCCTGAAAAAAAAGATTTGGTAATAATACATGGAACATTAGGTAGAATCCTCAGCAGGGTAGAGATCAAATCCTCTAAGATTAAAGACTGCTTTGGACCTAATAGAGCTTTAATGTATACCTTGAAAGGATTCAACTGATTCCAAGTAAAGAAAAGACAAAACAATCCCTAGAGGTTGTCCCCACCAGCCAGTGTAGAAAATGTGCATGAAATCAAAATTCAACATTATTTAAAAGAATTTTTAAATTTCAGCAACCCCAAACTTTAATTTACATTGTTTAGCACCCAATCAAAATCACTGGGCATATATAAAAGTAGAAACATATAGTCCCATACAGGAGAAAGTTTAATAGAAACAGACCCAACAGTCCTAATATCCAGATAAAAACCTTCAAGATGGTAGAGGAAAATTGTAAGCATAATGAAGAGAGGTACGAACGATAAAAAAAAAAATGAAAGCTAGAATTTCTGAGATAAAAAACATACACCATATGGGATTGAAAGCAGAATAGACACTCCAAAGAAAAGATTAGTGAATATGAAGACAAAGCAAAATAAAGTATCCAAAATGAAGCACAAAGATTAAACAGAAAAAAGAAAAAGACAAAGCATCCATGACCTGTGATACAATATTAAATGGCCTGACATACATGTAACTTAAGTCCCAGAAGAAAAACAAGTTGAAAAAGAACAGCCCCAAATTTTCCAACTTTGATAAAACTGTAAACCCACTGAATCAAGAATCTCAAAGAACCCCAAGTAGAATAATCTTTAAGAAAGTTGTGCAAAGGCATATCATAAATAAATTGCTAAAAACCAAGAATAAAGAGGCTATATTTTTAAAATACAGAGGGGGAGAAAAGACCCTTTACATATAAAAGAATAAAGTTGAGGACAACAGACTTTTTGTCAGAAATAATTCAAGTTAGAAGAGAGTGAAGAGACTTCTGTAAAGTACTACAGAAAACCATCAACCAAGTATTCTTAACTGAGCTAAAACATATTTCAAAAAGGAAGTCAAACAAAAACTTTTAAATGCAGTGCTATCAGATCTGTGCACCTAGAAATATTAAAAGAAGCTCTTAAGGAGAAGGGAAATGATACCAGATGGAAATTTGGTTTTAGCCAAAGGAATATTACCAGGGTTAATGGAGACATTTCATGATGATAAAATGGTCAATTTATCATGAAGCACAACAATACTAATGTATATGCACCTAATAAGAGCTACATAATACATAAAAAGACCAAATTAAAAGGAAAAACAGAAAAATCTACCATTATAGTTGAGGATTCTAACATTCCTCTCAGTAACTGAAAAAAAATAGGCAGAAAAGCAAAATGAATACAGAAGATTAAGCTACACCAT